TTAGAATCTAAAGATTTAAATTTCAAATATCCAACCCACCCCTAATTTCATTCCCCACTTAATTAAATTATTGGGTTTTCCCCCCTGTTGATCAAATCGATATATGATTTTTGCCTTATCTAGTAGCTGAAGAAATGTGCATAAGAGGTTTAGGGTTTGGACTTTGAAGGAGAAGAAATGAAAGCGATATGGCACCAGCAGACAGGAGAATTCCCAAGACTACGTACGTGTGGTTGTTATTTGAAACTCTAGGAAGAGATTGCAATTTCATGGGACAGATTTTCTGGGATAAGCTATAGCTGAACTTTTATCTTTATCCTTCAATTCTGTTTTACTTCCTTAATATCAGATAGCTACTCAAAAATTGTATCATTATCAAAGTTGAAAGAGCCCTTTTTAAGCTTCATGACCTAAGTGGTCCATCAATTATAGTGATTAACAAAACAACAGAGTATGAAGTTGGAGATGTCAAATCTTATATCATTGATCTACACGTTTCAATCGAATATTCTACAGGTATATGTATCATAATGATTGCATATACTCGAGTCACCAGGAGTACGTCAGCAAAATGCTTTGAAATCGTTCCAATTAATCTCAATAGCTCGAGTACGTAGTTCGAAGAAGTTCAAGACTAAAAAAACAATGCGTACTGCATTAGTTTTTTGCGGAATACTGGCCGAAACGCTTTGTAAATAATCTAGTACGCAATAGTGGCAGTAATTAGTTAACGAAAACAGATTCTTAATCTGATTTAGCTAAATAGTTCAGTATAGGCTAACCACCCTCTAAATAATTGTAACAAAGACAGCATACCATGTATCACAAAACAACATCGATAATATACACACAACAAGGTTGTCATGTCCCACCTGGTTAGGGCACGCCATTGAAGCACCAATAAGAGAATGATCAACTCAATGGCGGCAATTATAATAAGATTGTTCCTGAATTATTGCAGAAAAAAAGCACCAAGCCATTTGTTTAATGGCTGCACATTGTATACATAATTGTGTGCACCATTGCATGGATGGAACTTCTGTGTTTATGATTGGAGACACGCCGCTTATAATCTTTCTTCTTTTATGAAAACCAAGATTGGGAAATGAATAAAGTGGGATATATGTGATCATGAAAAGAGAGATTTTGCGGTTGTACTTGTACCTAAACCTGCATTTCAATATTATGGAAGGAGCTAAAGAGAAAAAACCCTAAAGCAGCTGCAAGCAATAAGAGAAGGGGAGCAGAGGACATCCACAGACCACAGAAGATGTCAATTGGATTTCATCAATAATAGAACAGAATGGGAAGGCAAAGAAAAAGAAACCCAAAGCAGATGTGAAAAGAAAGGATTTAGCCAAACCTATTTTATTTACACATATATGTTGTAGATACTCCATATAAGTTTGTCTATTGGTTCATATAACAACTCTCAACTCCTAAGGGTTGTTTTAACAAAGTATAAAATTTCATCTAAATTTATTACCAGTGAAGACGAGTCATACTTGATAGGAATATCGCGTGTGCTAGAAATCTAAACCCGAAGCTCAATCTATGATATAATGTCGCCACGAGATTGAAGTCCAAGCTATGTTGGTGTATGTTCGCCAAGGAGAGAATTCGGGGCATTGTTGCGCCATTGATTGTACTACTGAGGCAATTGGCAAGAGATGTCATAAAAAATAAAAATAAAACTAGTTCCAAATCCAATAACTCAGACTCTCAGAGTGGTTGTAACAATTTCAAGTGTGGATGTTAATGATTTCTTTATACTCCCCCCTCCAACGAAATTCAACTCAGAGGGTTTGAAGTTTGTACATGCGCCCGTCGTACAACGTGCTTTAAGACAATGATTATATCAAAATCGTGAGAACTTGAACATTTGACCTCACGATCAAGTCAACTATGATATCTTGTCATAATCTATCTAATCTCAATAATGTAATAAACCAATTGATACCAATGACTCGAGTCCGTGTATGTTAACCACTTGTAGGGTAAGCTTTGATAGTTTAGGCTCGATCCCCATACCCTCTTGGTCGAGGGAACCAATTGGGCTGCAGGATTGGAGATTTGCCTCCAGATCCACGAACTCGGTTGCCCATGCCCTGCCCAACTTACCTGCTTGTTGTTGGAGTAAACCTGTTGCAGGGCTTCCATTTGTCTATGTCGGATGATGGTTTCGGACTATTTGGGCCAAAGTTTGAATGCGATGTAGGATGACAAAATAACTTATTGCGGGTGTCCCGTCGTAATAAAAATCGATTATATCGGGTGAAAAATGTAATCAATATTATGTATGAGTGGGGTTTTTTTTAAAAAAAAAAAAAAAAATTTGGTGCAAGGTATATTAAATTTCTGAATTTTAACCACCTCGATTATGTGTTACAACTATGTTCTACACCCCTCTCACTTCACCGCTATGATCACCCATGTCCCTAAAGCTAGGAATGGCAATGGGGAAAGTTCGGGGTGGGTATCTCGATACCCATACCCGCTACATGGCAGGTCGGGTCCATGTCAGGTAATTTATTACGGGACACGGGTTGGTGCAGGTCGATCCAATGAGTATGTAATTTATGTGAAAAACATTAGAAATATTCGTTATTTTCATTAAAATACCAAGAAAGAAACCATAATATGATAAAATCTAGTTAAATTATTGAAGAAATTGAGGTTTTCACTTAATTGAAACTTTATTATAGCTAAAATATAATGTAATAAGAGGAAAATCATAAGTAATTTGACTAAGATTATATGTAATTTAGGCAAGCACGGGTCGAGAATGGGGCAGGTCGGGTCGATGAGAGGTACCCATGCCCGCCCCGCCCGCCCCAAAACAGGCCAAACAGATCGGGTAAATTGGGTCAGGTCAAAATTGCCATCCCTACCTAAAGCTTTTGATTATCTCTTATGTCTCAAATCTTTTCTCATGATATCTAACTCATACAAACTTCAATTAACATCGACATTGTAATAAATTTTCTAATACTATATCAAGAATTTATATATATATGAATATCTAGGATGATGAAGGTAGATATTGTCGAGCTACATGCAAGAAGGTTGTGCTATGTAATAATATTACTTGTACCAAATTTTGGTTGCGGAGATGGTGACAGTTTTAAAAACACATTTTTTTTAGATGATACATATGAAATCGGCCCATTAAGATGGTGTATAGGAAAAAAAACTGGCCCATCCAAACTTGTTCTCATCCCTTATGGAATGAGAAGCAGGTTCAATGGGGGAAAACAAAGCAAAAGAATAAAAGACAGGTTCTTAGGCAAGGTCTGCAAATTCTCCATGGATATTTCAGCCCATTATAAGCCTTATTTTTTCCACAGTTCTATTAACTGGACTGCACACCTTGAATATGGGCCTTCATCAGTAACGCAAAGTATCTGAGCCTTAAGCCTGCTTGCTAAGATACCTTGGTGTAGGTGGCCTCATATGTTAAAAAGAAGAGTGGGCCGGACTAGTGCGTCGATGAATTAGCGCAAGTTCTTTTTGATGATAGTCGAGTCGAGTTAGATTTTGGTTCGTTTACTGAAATTTTGACTTGTTTATGGTATGCTCAATAGTTATACTTGGGGTTGGTTCATCAATAAGTTCGCTAGACGGATTCGAGCCCATGTATCATATAATTTAGTTAATAAATTATAATTGTTCATATAATGTTATTTAATAGTAATTCATATCTAAGCAAAATCCATGATACATAATTATCCTTTCATATCACAAATGAGACATATTTTTCGCATACTCAATTTTCAAACATCACACGTGGTGAGGTACCTAATCTAACAACCCTAAATAAGAATTATCAACAAGCCAACTCATAAGCTATAAATCAATTTGCTCATAAGTCGTTAGTCGACGACGTGACTCGCCAAGCCATCTCATATCTCAAAACGAGTCAGCTCAACAAGCTACCAAATCGAGCTGACTAGCGAGCCTTGCAAGCTGAACACTGCTTAGTTCAAAATAGACTCCGCAGAAAAAACAAGTCGAGTGCCCCCCAACGAGCTTTTCCAGAAATCATAGTTGACCGTTAAGTTGCTCGTGAACGGGTCAGCTCGTTGAGTAGCATAGCTGAATTCAGCTGATCATACATCAATTTGCACGTATACTTTGATCTACCAACACATTGAGGTGAAAACGTTTTACTGTCCATATTGGATTGATATTAGAGGTGGCAAATGGATTGGATTGGTGGATTGGTGGATTGGATTGGTGGATCCATGGATCAAATGGATTGGATCTAATGGATTGGTGGATTCATGGATTGGATCAAGTGGATTGGTGGATTATCCATGAATCCAAATGACATCCTCAACCAAGGACCAATATGTAAAATATAAAAAGTTTAGGTACTAAAATGTCACAATGAAAAATTTTAGGTACCAAAACGTAATTTTCCAATGATATTTTTCGTATAAAAAATAAATTTTAGGTACCAAAATGTAAAAAATAAAAATTATAGGTACTAAATCGTAATTTGCCAATGATCCATGGATCCAATCCATTAATCCACCAATCCAATTGGATTTGGATCAAATGGATTGGATTTAAATGGATTGGATTAGGTGGATATTTTTAATGGATTGATGGATTGGATTGGTGGATTGGATTGAAATTGCCACCTCTAATTGATATGACCACATGGTGCTCTCATTTTCCCCTTTCGTGGTTTCTCAACTAAAGTCATTTTACAATGACGAGTGACCACAGACGAAGATAGAAGAGCAAGAAAAATGCTCACCAAATTGAAAGTTACGATAAGGAACCCCAAAAAAAGAAGAACAAAAAGCAAAACCAGGGACCCACGATTTACATCCCCTCCTTAATATTCCCACTCAACTAGTCAATCTGCTTATGCACAGCCAGTGGACTAAGATGCGCCACATGCGGCGAAGTCCGGTGTCGGCAGCAGCGGCTGAGCATGAAGAAGCAGATCAAAAACAAAAAGAAAGAAAGAAAGATAAGAAAAAAAGTCTGGTTTGTGAGCAAAGAAATGGAAGTTGATACGATGTGTTTTCGAGTTGGTTCTTCTTGTAGCATGTCATTCGATTCCTCTGCTTTAATAGATGATCCGATATTCACGAGAATCGAAATAGTTTTAGACATATGTGCTGCTGAAATCGTGTATCATAAAAATAAACAATGAGGTGGGTAGTATATGTTTGCATGTACTTCTTACATCCTACCGAATCAAGGTATGCATAGTTTTGGGTTGAGATTAGTGGTATTTCTAAGAATGCACTCAAAAGAATCTGAAACATAAGGTCGAGACGACATGTTTTTGTGAACAATTTTTTTTCTTTCAAACATATCTCGTCAAACTAGGCGTTCTAAAGATTAAACTCTATTCTATAAAAGACTACGAAAGCAACTCCGAAACCAAGGTCGGAATCTAAAACGAATCGAATACTTGGGATGAAAATTCGAACCGAACCGTCTAGCTGTACAAAGCTTTGGAAGTGCTTGGGGAAATCAATGTCCTTAGTACTCTAATCCTCCAATATTAGATCATATGTGTCAGCAAAAGTATACCCAGATGTATGTATGTATAAATCGCCATTTGGTGAGAGATTGGAAGAGGATGACGCGGGCTGGTGCTACAAAGAAGGAAGGAGCCAGAGGTTGAAGAGAGAAGAAGCGAAAGAGAGGAACCAAGACAAGAACGCCATGGTCGCCGACAGCTGAAACCTGCTGCACAGCTTCGCCGGGCAGAAGGATCCACCTGCCTCCACCAACAGGTCCGTGACGCTTGCCGTCGCGCAGGCCGCCGCCAGCGACAGGAATGACAAAACCTGCAATTGCCAAAGAGGATTGTTGAATTCGATTCCTACACAAAAGAGCAAACGCTTCAAACCCCAAAAAACAGAGAAAGGGAAGATTTTGTGTTTACCCAATCTCCGGCAATGATGACCAACAAGATCCTTGGCTGGTGAGGCAGATACTTGATGAAAACTGAGTATGCATCCACCATTACCAGAGTCAGGCTCCATGGGATCATCAGTCCCATTACTGTCACCAAGTAGCTGCGTTTTCACCACCAGTAACGCAGTTAGTAATCAAAATCAATCATTAGCCACAATTCCTTACAGCCATTATCAGGGTATTATGAAGAATTCAGAGTTGGCAGAGACAGAGGGTTTCAAAAGAAGAAAAAACTGAAAATTCGAAAAGATTGGCAGCTTTCACCAGGAACCCAAAAGAGGATTTTGATTTCCGCCGACAAGGAATGATCATGGAACTCCTCAAACTAAGCAGAAACAAGCGAATTGAAGACAGCAAAACCCAGAATTGGGAGGTGGAATTGAAAGATAGGAAGGATACCTGAAAGCAGTGTAGTTGTAGAAATCGATGCGGAGGCACATGAACAGAAGCGAAGCAGTCGAGAAGAAGGCCTGCCCCAATCTCAGAGCCAAGCTAGCGCTTGTTCCCATTGAGCCAGGCACTTCGTCTTCCATTATCTGCTTCCCCTGCCTCTCTCTCTCTCTCTCTGTTTCTATCTACCTTCTCCTCCATGACCAAAACCAAAACCTCCCCATTTCAATGTCTCTCTGAAAAAAACGGAAGAATTCGACGGAAGCAAGCTGGACCCAGTTGAGATCACGCCTGTATGTGCTGGAATGGAGCCGAAAGGCGGTCGCTTTCTGCTGAATCCTGACTCTTGGCTGATTGCTCTGGCTGTGCACACAACGTTTTAGTGGCCGATTAAAATTAAAAAACAAAAACAGAGTTGGGTCCTTTTCTAGGATACTGAGATTGAATGAGGGAGATTTGATTACAGAAGGTAAGAGAGATTCCGGGGCTTCCAAATGGAACGAGATTGTTGAATTCCCCTTTTGGTTGTTTCGATTCAAGCCACGAGGCCTTCTCTTCTCGTTCTCTGCCGTCTCGTATAAGGAAACAGTTTGATTTCTTGGGGGTTGAATATGGAAAATTGGGATTTTTTTTAGTTAGGAACAGAGTACAGAGCGTTTTCTTTTTCATTTATTAATTGTTTGGGAAGCAACTTTGGATTGTGACCATCAATGTTTTTAATGGCTCTCCTAATCTGACATGACATGACCTGACCTTTTTTTTCTTCTTCTTTCTGTACCATTGTTCTTCTCTTCTTTCTTTTCAATAATATGTTTCTTTCGTTTTAATGGAGTCTTGAATTTTTTGGGGAGAGCAGGCTGCTAATGAACTTGTGATGTTTGTTCTTAGTTTTGAACACTCATGTCATGTGTATTACATTTGGTTGTGCGACGGTTCTCATAATGTTTTTTTCTTTTTTTCTAAGCTAGGATAAAAAATGAAAACTTCACCGCTAAATGTTGCACTAAGTTCACTATAATTATCCTAACTTCGTAATATGTAGTTCATCAGATGACTCAGTGAAAACCAACATTTTAATGATAATCATCATGCTAGTTTCGTAAGGATAAGTTTGGCTTATGATCTTGAACAAGAGAAGTAGATGAAATGGCACACTCCAAACACAAAGCTGGTAGATTTCTCGGCATACACCTCACTGATACTTAGTGTGTATGATTGCCACATCCACACTAAGAAGTGGTGGCAAAGTTCAAAAAGTTTCTTGCATGTCCTCGGCATGTTTAAAATTACACATACATCGTGATACCAAATTTTTTTACTAGATTATCTTGCATCAAACATCATAATCTCCACCATCCTTTAATAGATATTCCAAATGACAAAGGATGTAAAACTACACTAAGATTAGGAGCAATACCATTACTTTTAGGGCGATTTTAAGTAATAAACAAAGCCAATGGCTTGCTTTTTAGTTCTCCACTCACATTCGCACATATATGTAACAAGAATCATAGATCACTATGTTTTTCTGAAGATCTCAATGTCCTTTCTCACAATCCATATATATTCTCCTTCTCTACTTTTTTTTTAAAGCCATCAACAATGAGTATGAATTGATAGCTTAAAAAGGTTGCACCAACTAAGTGCATGAATATGCACATTATTATTGTTCTATGAAATATCAAGTCCTATATCAACCCTTTTGTGTTAAGATTGATATTCCAATTTCCGTGGCTTACATTTCTTATCCATATTTTTGGCTTTTGTTGCAAAAATCCAAGATTGGAAGATGATAATAATATGCATCATCAGCATTCCTGTTGGTTGCAAAATCCCTTTCACCAAACGTTTGAAGACCCACTCTTGTATTATTTGTGTAATCTGTCGGGAAATTGGGATATATATAGCTCTATTATGTGGTCAAATGCCAAGGATTGAGCACTGTAGTCCCTCTCTCCCCACAAGAAATATAGTCATTGCATCATTTTAGAGGAAACACCATGAGTATGTCTCTATGGTTAGAGAGTCTGGTTGAATTAGGTTGGGTTCTTGATTGATTCTTATTACGGTCTTATAAAGAACATCATCAATAAAGAGATACCAATTTTGTTGTCCATCTCGAATCGCCGATTGAGACTTTCCTTGCCTTCGGTTTGACCTTACTGTCTTTTTTTTCCATTTTCGGGAACATTTTGGAAAACTAGGAAACTTTATGGTTTCCTCCTCAACTACTTCACTAAGCAACATAAGGCACAATCATAAGAGACCCGACGTCTTCAAAGACGAGAGCAATCGGACAACGGTGATTTCCAAGTCACGCAAAGATAAAGGTTTCATCGACATGGAGGGTTTTATCGTAGGCGAAGAAGGTAATTATTTAGGTGGTGAATCAGCATAAGCCAGAGTATAGCTGGAGCAGAAGTGTCAAGCATGCCTCCAAATTCTTCAAGCACTATTCTAAATAACAGTTCTACTACATTTATTGATAGAATACAGTTTTATAAATGTAGCTCTTCAAATTTGAAAACTCTAGAAGTTTGATTCAACTGATTGGATTACTAAATCGAGTCTTACACATCATCGTCATACATACAAAACATCATCCGCAAATAAAGACCGGTCATATTGTATGCCACGAATCGTTGATTTAGAAAAATACAGATAGCAACCCTTCAAATTTGAAAAGTCTAGAAGTTTGATTCAACTCAATTGGATTTACTAAATCGAGTCTTACATATCATCCTCGTGCAGAACACCATCCGCAAACAAAGGCCCGTCATATTGTGTGCCATGAATCGTCGATTTAGCCCTACTTCACTTCCCCATTTGCCATTTTAGATCACCTTTCGTAAATTAGGAAACTTTAGGCATATCGGTCACTTACTTCTGAAACCTCGACGGCAAGTTTTAATATACAAAACGAAAACGACACATAAAGAAGAAGAAAAAAAACAGAGCAGTCTCTGTTTTCAAACATTCCCACCATCATCATCAACCTCTCTCTCCCTCTACTTAATCAAGCTGAGCATACCAAACCCCCTGAATCTTCACATCCTTGGGCGCCTTGGCGCCCAAGTCGGTGTCCGACGGCTGAACGCTCTCGAAAACCCCGATCACCTCCCCTGTCTCCGGCTTGCTCTTGGTCACACTCAGGGTAATCTTCCCTTTCGACGCCGCCGCGTTCTTGACATTCTCCTTCGCCAGCTCCTCCTCATCTCCTCTCCCGCCGGCGGGCAGCGCCACCGCATTGTCATACCCCTGCGACCCACCTCTGCCCTTCGGGTCCAAGAACGAAGAACCTCTGTAGCTCGGCACCAAAAACTCCCCACTGAAGCTCTCCGGCTTCCCCGAAGCCACCAGCTGCTTCACCGTGAAGAGAAAGGGGACCCTCTCGCCTCCGGGGAGCTGGACGGTGACGGCAGCGTAGTCGATGCCGTCTTTCTCCTCGAATTTCACGGTGCCGTCAGGGGAGACCTCGAAGGGGCCTTCCATTTCGTCTAAGGTGTAGGTGAGCCTGGTCATGAGCTTGGTGTTTTGGAATTCTGCAGGGGAGTTCTTGCTGATTCCTTCGGCTTTCACGGTGAAGGAAGTCGGCTCGAGGCAGAATTTCTTGGCCTGGTATTTCCCTGCTTTGAAGGAGAAGGCGTCGGATCCGCCGTCGATGGTGGGGCATTGGTTGGCTGTCCCTGTGCCTTTCACTTCCATGTAGGTCTTGCTCTGGATCTCGTCGAAGGTTAGCCTCTTCGGCGCGCCTTCTGCTCCAGCTCCCTGCGTAGCCAAAACATAAACAACTCCAATGTTGGTGAAATGGTATCAGAAGAAATGGGCCATTGAGACAGATAATTACAAGTTCAATAGTAAAACTGTGATGACAGATACAATTGACAGTAGGACTTCACAAAGATCAGTTTGGTAGCTATAATGAAAGACAATATGGACAATGTTTGGCGCCATTCTTAATCGTAAATCGAACGAAACATATGACTAACGAACGTAAAATCAGTTCAGAATCATCATGGTAATTGGTAAAGACATAATCGATCCGCTACGCGGTCTTTCAGAGTAGGTGGAGAGAGGTTAGCCAACTGGACTTGTACTTCAGACATGATACTAGAGTGTTAAATAGTCTCTAAACTTTCCGACTTCAAATTGTATCATGATGAATTGAGAGCCTTCTCAATCATGTTTACTCGATAGTTGCTGCTAACCCTATTAGTGGTTATTTGATTTTAGCTGTATAATGTCTCACAATCCTGATTACAACAGGATTGGACTGTTTCTCGCAATCCAAATTACAACAGGATAGAAAGTCTTCTCAATCATCATGTGGGTTCATCAGTTGCTGCTAAAGTGCTAACCCTGTATAGCTGGTTATTTGACTTGGTTGTAGCATATCTTATAACCCTAATTACAACAGGACTGGACAATATCCGGTAATGATCAAGCTCTACACAGACACTAACATGCCATTAAGAAGGCCAGAACTCAAAGGATCATCATATCTGAGCAAAAATCGAAACCCATTTAAGAAGCAAAGACATAATACCGAGACAACAAGAGCAGAGGTGGCAAGAGCAAAGCCAGCAAGCTTGGTGGCATCGACACACTTCTGGGCCAACTCCTTGAGGTCAGATTGAAGAGAGCAGGTGACTCTAGCAGAGGCAGCTGGCTCCAAGCCAAAAGCCTTGGACACATTTTGGGAAGACCTCAATTGGAGGAAGGTATTGTTGGAGGAGGAGTTCCTTCCCACCTTGGTGGGTTGCATCAGAGTTGCTGCAGCTTGAAGTGAGGCTGCCATGGTTGAAGCCAAAACACGAACAAAACCCACTACTGGGATCTGTGATGGGTGGGAAATAGTGGACGGAGAGAGGAAATTGTGTCTTTTGAGCTAAGGTAGGGAAAGAGGAGTTAAGTTGGTTGGCTATGGAGTGAGTGAGAAAAGATGGAGGATAAGAGGATAGGGTAAGGGTGAAATGCTATTGGAGGGTGCCACATGGGCAGCGATATACTGAGATTTTTAGGCTTCAAGAGATACACATTTGCAGTTTCAAGAGTGGATGGATGGAGTTAGAGGAGTGGAACCACATGTAGTAGGAGTGTAGGACCTGATTTTTTTGTGGCTGTGAGCGAATGAAATGGCAAAAGGCAAAGTCAATAGCAGTGCAAAATGAATATTGGCCCATACAGGTCTCGAACCTGTGACCTTCGCGTTATTAGCACGACGCTCTAACCAGCTGAGCTAATAGGCCTTGATGTTGAAATGATTAGTTAGAAATTATGTATAAGTGTTACCGGTTGTCCAAAGTCTGACCACAAGAGATTGAGAACCACTAGAACAATGATCTTGCTAGGTTTTCAAAGAGCCTAAAGGTGAGATTTTTTTCCACTGGATAATAAAGGGTCCTTTGGGTTAAGATTAGATTTAGGAAGCAGCTCAAAAGGGCTTGAAAGAGAACCACTAGAACAATGATCTGCTGGTTTTTCAAAGAGACTAAAGGTGAGATTTTTTTCCATTGGATAATAAAGGGTCCTTTGATTAAGATTCGATTTAGGAAGCAGCTCAAAAGTGCTTGAATGAGAATCACATGACTACTACCTGCCTAAATGACCAGTCTTCAAGTCAGTCTGCAGGCTGATAAGCTGATAAAAGAACGAACTGAGCAATTGTCCAGGTTAATAGTCACAAATAACCAGTTTCTGCTGATCAAAGAATGGACAGAGCAATGGTCTATGACTCCATGTTCATAGTCTGAAGGGAACCAGTTACCAAACTCTGCTGATTCTTTATAGAGATTGAAGGTGAGATTTTTTACTAGTGATTTTTAATTAGGTTAGAACGGTTTCTTCCGGTTAAGTTGAGATTCAGGAAGCAGCTCAAAAGTGCTTGAATAGAATCACAGGTCAAATAAAATTTGACCTCAATTCAGATTTGAGTTATATTATTCTCATCATTGCTGCATAGTCAATGTTCGTGGCAAACTAAGTTTAATTGTCCTTGACAACATGTTTTTCAGTCAACAAGATCTTTACAGAATTGTTCATATAAGATCCAGCAAAACAGAGCCTACCAATCAAAAATTAAAAAACAGAGTGCAAAAAGTGTAAAACTTTGAATGAGATTTTGACTCCGGCAGTTCAGAATGAGTAGGAGGTTGAGATAATGAATCATCATTTTGTGGTAAAATAAGACCAAAACTCTATCATCACCACTGCCAAAACATAACAAGACCAAAGCTGAAATCTTTAGAGAAAGCAATTAAAAAGGTTGATTTTCTTTTGGCATGATGGGGATCATGAACAATGGATTCCTCTCAGACAAATGCCTCGTTTGTCGTCAGGGTTTTTGAATGGATAATCGGACTCGTCATCTATAGATACTTATCATCACCGAGGAAATCACGAATCATAACCCCCCACATAAGCTGAAGCAACAATTACTAAAACAAATCGATCAAAGAAAAAGAGGAAGATATATATGGCCATGGCTGATTAGCTCGACCGTCCTCGTCTGGAGAAAGAAGAAGAAGAAAAAAAGCTTTCCCTTCTTCCAGCGGCGACAGAGGAGCGAATAAGGCATGGCCGCATGGACAAGAAGGAGGCAATCAAGCACGGCGGAGAAGAGGGTTCCGAGCAAAGAGACGGAGCATCACCATGGAGATGGAGGTAATGGAGGACGACGAGTTGCTTTGTTTAATTTATAGGCTGAATCGCAGAGCCTAGGGTTAGGGTTTTATGCGGAATTGGAATTGGGATGGGAATTGGAGTATTGGACGCTTGTTTTTGTTTAGATACAACGGGCCGGACCATTTTAGCCCACTCTCGTTGTAGATTTCAGCCTTTGCCAAGATTAAGATTGAGAAACGGGAAACAATCTGGTACAGGTATTTTACAAAACCGACCCAAACCTTCTTCTCCAAATAGTGGTAAGATATATTTTTTATAAATATTAGGCTAAGAAAAAGTCATATAGTTTAGACTTAGTGTAACTTGTATCTCCATGTTTGCACTGCGTTAGTTATGTACGGACGTTTAGAGTCTTCATGTCAAGACTGTTCTCTGTTATTTCATTAATTGTCATACTTCACGGTCAATCAAACGGCGGTCAAAATTTTGTTAATTTGGTGCCAACATGTCTGCCATGTCATCGACACATAAAAAAAGGGGGGGGGGGGGGGGGGGGCAGGTTCTTTGTTTAGCAATATGATCTAAATAATTATCCCTATCCTCTCGGTAGCTTACGAGTTTCTTTTTGTGTCTATTTCCGTTGCTATCAAGATTTAGATCCTTCCTACTTTAGTAATATGATTTTTTTTCTCTCCAAATTTTGAGAGCTTCGAAAATAACTACTGAATTACAAATTTTTGTGCCGCAATTAGTGAGAGGGTGGAATTGTCGTTTCGGGACAGACAAATTATAGGTTGGAGATTTTGCTGTGGTGTTTTACTTTTACATAACCTTAGATTTTGTATACGAACCTCAACCTTTATTTTGGCACAAAAACAAAAACAAAAAACTCTAACACCAAACTGAAACAACTCATGTCATGTTCTTAAAGAAAAATGTATCCAGTAGAGAAACACAGAGAACCCATATAGTTTCAGCTCAATACTGACTGAACCAGCATGGTGCAAACTCTGACCCTGCAATCACAGGTAGCTAGCCTAGGTTCATAATAGATAACGTCTTCTTTTGATACTAAACTACAGGAATCATAATCGAAAAGAGAAAAGGATTTACAAGAACTCAAACATAATATGCCCATTTGATGTTGCGAAAGAACAACACATCCAGTACAGCCATATAAGCTCATTAGGGTTACACAATCTTCACTCCTTGTCCAGTGCTACTACAGTCAACATACTTGTAACAAAGTTCGAACTCGTTCCTAGCTTAACATTTCATACATTAGTATATAGACAGCAGCCAAGCCAAAAGGGGATAAGATCTAACATCCATCTCTACATAAGTCATAATCACACTACTACTTACCTCAGCTTCCAAGTTCAACCTTTGGTCATGTTCATGTAGTTAAAAGAACAGCACGCATAGTCTTACATCTATTGCTAAGGACACGATTCAGCAGATGATCACCTCCAAGGGGCGGCAACCACAAGTTCAAACTCATTGCAGGCACTGTCGATGCGGTCCTTCATTTCATCCACCGTTGATTGCAGAACTGCAGCTTTGGCTTCTACTGCTTCCATCTCCTTCTTGGTTGCAGCCAGTGTTTGCTGTAGTTCCAGCATCTTCTTCTCGATTTCGTCGATCGTGGCAACCAACTTTCTCTTCTTGCCGATGTGATGTTGTAGCTCCGGTTCGGCATTCTTGACAACGTTCATCCACTTGCTCAACGGTTCTTTGATCGACAGCAGCTTGCTTATGCGATTGCGTGGCAGTGTGACATTGAACCCATGCTTCTCCAAGTCGGATAAGCTGGCCAGATTTGACTTGAATGAGGCCCTGGAATCGTGGATGCGAAGATTGGCTATCTTCTCAAACACATTGCAGAAGGTTACCATTATACCAATTGCTGCGCCTTCACGATAATCCTCTTTGCAGTCGAAGAGAGGTCGGAAATGAGGTTTTTGTGGAATGTTTCTGAAAACTTCCGAGGACTCTATTGATGCCCAAGCTGGTGACCTTTTCTGAAACGGCCAAGCATCAGGATTGGTTTCTTGATCGGCTTGCCTTTCACGCAATCCATCACCTGACCAGGCAGAAGATAAGTATATAAATAACCACAAATTTCAAACAACGAGAAGCAGAAAAACAAGTCAACTTAAAGCAATACACTGCCTTCATTACCACTTTTGGAAGAGCAGAGTCTTCCCAACCACATTGATAGAGGTTGATCTTCATTAGCAGCTTCATTTCTCACGCTCTCTATCCCAGTCCCTGGAATACAAGCTTTCTTCTCCACCAGCCCATTTGGAGGAACTGCAGAATGACAAGTAGAGTTCAAGATCAGGAAAGTGTAAGGCTGTAAAGACTTCTTTTAGAAGTCAAGGAATAGAAAATGAGGTATATCAGGGAGGAACATTCAGACATCATACCACCATTCAACCAGTGTCAACGTCAAGCAGAAGTTACGCCAGGATTCCTTCATGCAACAGTATGCACTTACAAAGACGACGACGCTAAGGCTAACACTAACCCATATTCCCCTTCATCTCCATCCTTAAGGTACTGCCAGCAGACATACTTTTTCCTTCCAGTTGTACCATTTTCATCTGTAAACTCTCGTCTTACTACCTTCCTAGTCTAGTTTAGACAAGGGTTTACACCCAAATGAGGGATAATCGTAAGAAGCTATAGTATCATGACTGATTTTTTTTTTTTTTTTTTTTTGCATCAAGCATGTGAAACCCTTTTCTCTGCAGACAATAACAATCTAGGCACCAACATCCTCATACCTGTAGAGTCCATCTCGGCTTGAAATTCTCCGCCAGCTTCACCAGTCACGGCTTCGAGAGCCATTTCAATGTCATCATCAATCTGGCTGATTTCCATGCCTACAGTTAGATCATCACGCATACTTATCATACAAATGTGACGAAAGTAAATACCCTAACCAACGGTGTATATACGTAACAGCATCTGGCCTTCCCACGGCCGATTTGGACAGAAAACAGCAGCATTCTCATGCTTCTCAAGCAAGTAGATTGTTCCACCTTCATACAGAACTGACAAGCCATGGTGCACCGTACAAGCTAGCCAGCAGAGACTAACTTGAACAGCTGCATAAACTACGCCTACGAACATGCAATGCCATTAGAGAAGACAGAGCTAAGAGATTGTTCCTAGCTCTCCCCCCCAACACCTCAAATTCCAAGTGTTGATTTTGCTCTACTCATTTCCACAAACTGAAGGGGGGAAAAAGAACCCACTTAGCTCAGTGTTGTGAATGTCGAAACAAGCAAAGCTGAAGCTATGTTTTGCTTACCGAGCTCAGCTCCGTTGTGTTGTCCCTGACCAGCGCCGCGCCGGACCTTCGTCTCCAGATTCGGTCGATCTCTTCACCGTGCTTTAGGTGGCGTTAAGGGTTTTGACTGTTGAGCGTCATTTCAGTGCTATTTATTTCCACCTTTCCAGTTTTTCCAGCAAATGTATTTTAAAACAACGTTTCGCTTTATCCAGTCAGCACCAGTCTCTGGTTTTTATTTTAGTTTGTGAAAGAAAACGAAGCAGGGGCTAATAATTCGACTCAAGCCCACAACTGAACGGAAAAGCCCCAACGCGAGATTAGAAGTAAAGGCCCACAATTTATTTACTTGGCGAAACAGACCCGCAAGGCCCAAGTTTCATGTCACCAGTTCCTGGCTTTTGTTTCGATTTGGTTGAGATGGTTTTTCACAATTAACAACAGCAGCCACATAAACATGTGTGATCTCTCTCACACAAGTCAGAAATGTTGTTGAAAGAACCAAGCAAAACCAGCTCCGCTCCAACCTTGCACTACTGCGAAACGAGGTCACACTGTGCAGATAGATGTTTCTGAAACCCGAACAAGACTTGAGACAGGTGCCGTTAGCGATTCGAGATCTAATAGTTGAAATCGACGATGAAACAGAAATACAACCATTAGTACGATCAGCAGTTTGCAAAAAGCAGAAAGACACCCCCTTCTTACAACTTCATAATTTCACCATGGTTCGCTTCAAACTTGGATCAAAGACTTCTATTCCGCATTAAAAACCAAGACTGCAGCTCAGTTCATCCGAAAGATCATATTTCAACCCTCATCCTGATTTGGTAAAGAAAATCCTCAACAGATATAACCTCGCAGTCCTAGTAAGAAAACTGATTCTCAATGCAGCTCCACACAAATATCTGATACTATACTTCACGGGCACAAGAAGATGGAGTTTGAAACGAAACCTCTATGCAGAGACCGAGGGTGAGTCATCCATGCCAGGACTAGAAAATTCGTCTGCAAGAGGTGTGTGCGCATAAAGACGTCTCGAAGATCAATGATCCGCCAGAAGCACCTTCAGTTAGTCTGTTAGTGGAGAATGGGAGTTCTTTGTCATGCAACTCCCTGCAACTGATGTTCCACCTTGCTGCTTTCTATTTATCAAACTCCCATATCACTCCTCCATCCTCTGAAAATTGTTCAAAACACATGGAAAAAACTCCATTACGGATTGAACCAAGGTAAGATCATTCACCAGATCATTTGCCATATGCCAACAAGCATGGTAACTAATCGCCAACAGAACTTCGTATGATATAATCACACAGCTTCTGAAAGCAAGGACAACATTTTATATGAGAGGTAAAATTCAGTGATGAAGAAGATCAACAAACCTACCTTTGACTTTCTTGTTTATCCACATCTCCACCAGCATGCCAGCACCAACCCCGCCAACAATGCATGCTCCATAGAATCCGATCGCCGAGGGCCAAGACATTCTAGGAAGGAAATAGCTCTCGGGGATTTGCCTAATCCTTTTCGGAAGCCGCTTCTTTACAGCTTGCTTTGTTCCAGCACTTGGGTCGTTCTGAAGCTCTGTGCCTATGGCTTTCCAATCGACCCCTTTCAGTGGATCTCTAGGCTCTTCTGTCCCCATGACAACTAATGCTTAAGCTTTACAAAATCAGTCCTTTCAGCCAGTTCAACACTGCATTTTAAAGGAGAGATCCTGAGACTAGGAAATAATATCGACAAAGATGAGACTTTTCAAGTGACGAAAATGAAGAGATAACGATAATCAATTGTGGGCATATGACTGGAATCAACATCGGTACTTCCCACTTAACTGCTCATAACAATGGTGGGAATCAAATGGCTGGAGGTTTTGCAATAAAACACTGAAGATAAGGACGAAAACTACTTTGAAGGGGAATCGGATTTCGCTCGGACTAGTGGCTCAATTCATCGTCATGGGTTCTGAAGAGAATGGGAATCATAGATCGGAACTGGTCATCTTTGTTTGGCAATCAACACACCGATAAATGAAGGGGGGAAAAAAACACCAATCTCCCCAAAACTTGAAGAGCAAAAGGAAGAACAGTCATGATGATACGCAAGTTGCTGCGGAAGAAGAACTAGTTACCTGCAATGAAAGGGATGGCAGGTGAGTAGCCGTGCGATTGAGCGACAGGGGAGGACAAGCTTCAGTCTTTAGGGTTTATGTGGTTTCAATTTGTTCAGTAGTCGCTGCACGCCCTGTGGCCTGTGCAGTGTAAGTAATCTCTGTTCTCTGACCTGATGGAGTAGACCGGACCAGACTCAAGCCGGTTTGGATTCAAAGACGCCCACATCAATACAATTGAACATTTGGTTTAGCCTGTTGACCAGGTCGAATTAGTGGGTCAAGGGTTAATGGCTCGTTCGTTTTGAGTTTTGACTCGCTTTAGCTCGGTTTAATCCGGATATATGAAAAAAATCAATACATTATACATACATATATAAATTATATCAAATTATTCTAACATATAGATAATAATAAATAACTTTACACCAAAATAATAATTCATACTTAAATCCAACCCATTATAAAAAAAAAAATCAACAATGTAGTAAAAACTCAATTGCTCTTTTCGGAAAACAATTCTCCTAGGGGTCGTTTGGATGAGGAATTGTAACGGATCAATTTGACACAATTGTCTCGTTTTGAGACAATTGTACCAAATTGCCTCGTTTGTCAGCAAATTTTTTGGATGGGTCAATCTGTCTGAGGTGTTTTGAATTGATCCGTTTTGAGTCAATTTCAATTACCTGGGGTGGGGGCAGGTAATTTGAATTGACTCGTTTTAATTGCCTCGTTTATAAAACGAGACAATTGATCAAATTGACTCATTTCTAGATTGATCCATCCAATCTAGAAATGAGTTAGCCTTGTCCCAAAGGACCTCTGCCCAAGTCTGTTTCAATCATACATCGTAGAGTCAACGGAGAGTTATCAACCCAAATCAATTGGTGGTTCCAACCAGTCCCAGAGTGAGCCAACCAATGAGGCAGGATTTTTTTTGTCCTAGGCGTAAACACCCATCTAATCTTGCAGCCCGACAAAGACTCATTCACAGACGCCAATCTCTTCAGTTCATCGCACCAAATTCCTAGTTCCGTAAAATCGAAAGAAAATGACATTTCGGAGAAATCGCCTGAAAACTGTGATGGTACACTTTTGAATTCTGCCCAGCGGCAGATCCAGGGGGCCGCCCTCCTCTGGATCCATAACTAGTATAGTATGCGTAAATTTTTTATTTTAGATATTTTTTCGGTGTGTTTTTGGGTTTTGTCGGGCTACAACCCATCCCTCTCTGTCTCTCTTCAAATACGGCCCAACGCTCTACCCTGTCATGGTCCGCTGCTGAGTCTGCCATAAATGGATCTCGAAGAAATCCGCCCAAATCGGTGTTTAATGGACTTAATAATTGTTGAAGAATAGCCTCGGGCCGAATTCATGATTTGTGGTCTTCAAATTCCAAGGAAAATGGCCTTACGAAAAAAATGCCCAAAAAATTACGAAAATGTCATCCGAAAATGAATTCTCCCAAATCGGTGATTAATAGACTTAATCATCGGTGGAGAACAGGATCAAAAGACTTCTTATTAGTGGAGAATAGCCTCCGGCTGAATTTGTTATCTGTAGCCTTCACATTTTGAAAGAATATGGCATTCCAGGTAAATAGCCTCAAATCTCTTATGGTAACCATTTGGAACCCGCCAAAAATGGACTCAGAATAAATTCGTCCAAACCGGTGCTTAATGGACTTAATCATCGTTGAAGAATAGCCTCAGTCCTCATCTGTGATCTGTAGCTTTCAAAATCCAAGTAAAATGGGTTTTCAAAAATAATCGCCAAAAAAATTACGAAAATGTCATCCGAAAATGAATTCGCCCAGATCGGTCTTAATGGACTTAATCATTGGTAGAGAATACGATTAATAGACTTCATTATCTTTGAAGAATAGGCTGAATTTGTGATCTGTGTCCTTCAAAAACGAAAGAAAACGCCATTTCGGGAAAATTGCCCGAAATCTGTGATCGTACCCCTTTGGAGTCTGCCAAAAATAGTCCCAAAAGAAATCCACCCAAGTCGGTGCTTAATGGAATTAAATATCAAAGAAGAATAGCCTCATGCCGAATCCGTGATATGTAGCCCTTCAAAATCCAAGGAAAATGACCTCTCGAAAAAAAATCACGCAAAAAATTACAAAAATGTCATCCGAAAATGAATCCGCACAAATCGGAGCTTATTAGACTTAATCATCGGTGGAAAAATAGAATCAATAGACTTCATTATCGGTGGAGAATAACCTCAGGCTGAATCCGTGATCTGTAGCCTTCAAAATCGAAAGAAAATGACATTTCGGCAAAATCGTCCAAAATCTGTGATGGTACTTCTTTGGAATCTGCAAAAAATGGTCCCGGAAGGAATCTATCCAAATTGTTGCTTAATAGACTTAAATATCAAAGAAGAATAACTTCAAGCTGAATCTGTGATCTGTAGTCTTCAAAATCCTATAATAAAGGTCTTTCGAAAACAATCGCCTAAATAATTACCAACATATCATCCGAAAATAAATTCACCCAAATCCGAATTAATTTACTTTATCATCTGTGTAACTTTCATGACTAGTCGGAAGTTGGAACTTCTAAACTATTTTTCTTGTCGTGATAAACGGAATTTGATTGTGATGCAAGAAAGATAGGCAAATGGGGAAGTTAGAGAAGAAGAAGGAGAGGACAATGGAGGGGGGAAAAAAGACAAGCAAAGCCATCGAATTTGGTTATTGTTTTAGCCATGGATGAGAACCTTCCAAACGCAATGAGACGATTTTCCCTATTACTAGGTGACAAATAAAAAGAAAATAATTAGGGTTGTGGACTTAACGGCTAGAGAATTGGGATCCTCCTTCCAATACACAACAACTTTTTTTTATTTTAGGAAAAGTGGTTTAATTAAGCAATAATAATATCCAATGACACATTTCTTTTGAGGACAAGGTTTTTAGTGTTTAAACAAAACGTACTAAAGTTTAATTAGCCACCAAACATTTGGTCCCACTCTTTATTGTTTAACCAAATTAAGACGTTGAACAATGAGCTTCTTTGAAAATTCAACTTTATAATTGTTATTGCCTAGTGGATGCCATTCCCCACTAGTTATTAACAAATTTGAAATATCCATAACCTAAATTCTGCCCAGTTCCGAACTTAAGTTATGAGGAACTTTTATTTTTGTACATTATTACGAGGCCAATATATTAGGATGATATTGTATCTTTAATTGTAACGAGTAAAATAGATGTGAATAATAGCTTGTCGAAAACATCACAACCGAACAACAAATTGGAGGGCACTATTAATATTACAATGATATGGCCTCACAAGTCACAATACAAACATTCCAAGCAAACATGGAAAGGTTCAAAATTACACAAATTAAGCGTTTGATGGCGCTAGTGCACCAGGCCCCTCTGTTTATGAAAGTTGTGGCTGTTCTTTGGAGGATTTGGCGATCTAGGAACTGGGTAGTCTTTGAGGGCAAACAGTTTGGGATCCCGGCCTTGATTCGACAGTTCAACCAGCAGTTTGAGGAATGGGTTAGCCTGCCTGTTGATCGCCCCCAGCTGCCTGTGACTCCTCTCCCAGGGCCTCAGTTGTCGGTGTTCACTGGGCAAGCCTCGTGTAGATGGGATGGGGCGACGAGGTCTGGTTCTCATTCGGCGGGTGGGATGGTGTTGGTGGATGCTAATGGGGATCCGATCTTGGCTGCAGGATTTCAGATCCCTCATATTGATAGTCCTCCGGTTGTCGAGTTGTTGGTTCTTCGTGAGGCCATTCGTTGGTGCCTCAGCTTGGGCTTTACAGAGGTGCAGTTTGAAGGCGACGCCAAGGTCATTATTGATAAACTTAATAGGGCGGATGCAGGTGATAGCCAGATGGGAGCAATTCTTCAAGAGGTTATAAATCTTTTAGCTGTCCAGTCTGGGTTTTGTGTACGGTTTATAGGTCGGAGTAACAATAGGGTAGCCCATTTGGTGGCTAGGAAAGCCCTGTCTTTGTACCCGGCCACTTGCCGTTTCTTTGATTTTCAGGCCTGGCTGTCTTCCAGGATGTAACTTTCTCTCTTAATCTAATGGATTATCTTTTGTCAAAAAAAAAAAAAAAAAAAAAAACAAGATAATAATAATAAATAAATAAAAAACAGAGAGAGGAAATTAATGGGTTGGTCAATTTCTAATTGACCACAAATTTCCCCACATCTCTTATTACACATCCATCATTTGTTGTTTGTTCTTCCAAGTTCCAACAATCAAACACTAATTGATCATCATCGTATTATATGAGAAACGCCACACAAAATGACAATTTCTCTAAGCTATTTTAACTTCGGCCCCAGCTGAACCTGCACAAATATCAAAAATTAAAAGCAAAAAAAAAAAAAAAGAGTCAATATTCATCATCAACATACAAACCGCAGAAATCAAACAACCCATTTGAAAATGAATTACAAAATTATGCACGAATAATGGCAACCTGCGGTGGCCGTAGCGACGGAGCCAGAGGCGGAGCCCGCTGCAGGCGGCGGCGGCGGCGGCGGTTGGTCGACATCTTTCAGCTGGTTGCTGGCCGGTTGCTCAAGCGAAGCGGAGCTGGGAACTGGAGCGACGGCGACGACGCCGGGCCAAGAGCGGCAGAGGCAGTGGCTGCCCTTCTGGATGCCGTTGTAGAGCGGGACGAGGTGTTTCCCACAGCCTCCCCACCCTGTTTTCCCGCACGCTTTGCATTCCACCTTGTAACACATCTCTTTTGTTTTCTTCACTCTAATTTGCTTCCCACGCTTTTCAATTCCCAGCAATTTTTTCGCCCTGTATTTAAACGGCGAGGAGGAGGCGTTGGGTTAGGTGGTTTGTCCGACGTAATCGAAGGTCCCATGGGGGAGAATTTTTGCGGCGGGGAATGCGATGTCGAGGAATTATAAGGCTCGATTTCATCGTCCAGTTACAGCAGGAGAGATTCCCCTAAATTAGACCTATTGAGGAGTACTAGGAAGGAAGGGGAGCTATATCTACAAAATGCAGCCGGGTGGGGAAAAATTGGGCAACCCGCCAACAAGGCAACTAGAAATAGTTTGGGGCTGGAAATAGGGATGGCAGTGGGTTGGATTGGGTCGGGTTTTGCAAAATCCATGGGTTTATCCGTGAAAACATACTGGATTTGAAAAACTCAAACCCAATCCAACCCGCTCGGAATCCGCGGGTTCATGGGTATCCACGGGTCTTTGTCGTAGAAAATTTACAATAACAAGTTCCTATCAAAATTAAAGTCAAATATCAATCTCTCTATACAAATTATCCATATATAAAACACCATTATAGAAAATTCCAGCAAATCACAAAATTAACTATAAAAATTGTTCAACACCAATCTAGAAAACTCAAGAAAATTGAAGCAAATCACAAATTATCCATAAATAACATGATTAATTGAAAGCTTCTTCCTTTCAATTAAGTTTCTTCACTCTCCACTCGATAACATCAACTTCATTCTACACAATTGAAAAGAAAAAAATTAGACATGTCTCCACAAACATAAATAAGATTAGTTGTCTAGAATATTGAATATACCGAGAAAATTAATTATATGGGTGTGGGCGGGTACCCATGGGTCGAGTTTACCTAAATCCAAATCCAACCCAACCCGGTGAATAGTGAACGGGTTTAAACCCAAAACCCGTCAACACGGATTTTACCCTCGTTGACCGGGTTGGGTCGGATGGGTACCTGTGGGTTCGGATTTTGTTGTCATCCCTAGCTGGAAACATAACTCCCATTTGGTTCTCCCAAAAGCACCTTTCACTTTTTGATAGACAATTAAAATCGTATTCATATCCGATCGTATTCGAAATATTCACAAATATGTGCAGAAAATAGTTTTTCTGTATAACTTCAACACACTAAATACGTATATTGACATTTATGTAAGTGAAGAGTTTAACAATAAGCCAACCATAACTAAGCAAATTAGTAAAAGAAAAAAAAAATGTCCGGTGTTTCCAAAACCATACCATACCGACAGTGCGCGACTAGAGAAACACGTCTACCAGAACCCAAACCGATAAACAATTCTAGCGATACAAAATGATTGAACCATAATTTTAGTATAAAATACTCTATTTACTTTTTCGGTTCAATCTCCCGTATAGTTTTATAATTATCGACAATTTCGTGAAAATTTTCTCTATGCATATTAAATATAAGATATTTTAGAAATAAGCCATTATCGTCCCGGCATAAAATATAAAATACACATTCATCAAACGGGTTCAGTTACATAGTGAAAAATTCATACCCATCCATCACTCGTCTTATTCAAGTTCGATATATTTTACCCATACCCAGCCAAACAAGTATCTGATGAGCCGGGGCGAGGCGAATACGCCTTATCACAACTATCCGCACATTAGTATTCGATATTCGAGGAGGCTATTTTGTTCACGTCGGGAGAGATCTGTTTATGTCTCCAATAAGAACGTAATCCAGCATTTAACAAAAGACGATTAGTTTCAGCAAACACAATCCTACCACTACACATCACAAGGTGAAGTAAAACTAAATTCCGGCAACAAGAACAGAAACACAATGTAGCCGCACTCATTAGAGCCATCCAGAAGGACATCACCGCTACTTCCTCCTTTCCCTCCCAAATATCCATTTCCATGTCAGTATCTATAGCGAAAATCCATTAGTTAAAAACAGTCCAATTGAACGCGATTCAAACCGACGTTCAAGAAGCTCTGCCATCGTCTTCCTCGGCTCTGTCCGTCGAGGACTCCACAGCGGGCTTCTTTGCTGGACTGATCGGGGCCATCAGCACGCGCTTCACTCCTCTCCCGACAACACCCAGGTGGGTGACACCGCCATTTCCATTCGTATGACCTGTCGAGACTGTAGGGGACTCCGACTCACCAGCATTCCTATTCGTAGCCATCCGGGAAGAAGAGCTCACTAGACCCGGGGAAGCGGTCTTCTGATCATCGCCTCCAGCCCTGGCTGCTGCCATTCCCAGGATCTCTTGAAGAATCGACTTTGGGTTCACGGCGAGCTGCTGGAGATCTTCGAGCTGCAGCAAATCCATGGAACACCGAGTCAATCATAGCAATGCTGATTGATAGAGATACCAGAATCTCAGCCTAAGTGAACCAACCCAACCCGACCACTCGAAATCCAACCAAAGCACATTTAACCGGTACCAATTGGGTAGGGTTGATGGACTGGAGTAGTGAAAAATTACCATTTTTATACCTAACCAGTTCACATAACTATAGTCTATACTAAACTAAATATTGCATCAAAACTACAATTAGTACCAGAATAGTCTGGGCAATGCATTTTAGTACCTAAAACCTTTTACTCTGCCAATGCGCTCCGCATACCCGACAACTACACTATGACAACCTTCATATTATTTTTTTATGTTTATGGTGCCTTCCTCTGGCAATTAACAACTAATCCACAGCTATCACTTGCATTACTTTATTTATCCAACAGCTTTTGGGCCTCACATAAGAAATTTTGTGAACAACTATCAAAACCCTATTTAAACTCATCACATAAACCCACAAGCCATTTAAACCCAATCCATTTTCCACCTACAGCAATACGGTATTATTGTAAAAATATCATATGGAAAACTAAAGATGCATCCGTACCTTCTTTTCTAGTTCCACAGATAGACCAGTAAGTGTTTCGATCTCTGCTTCCTTGTCTGATACAGATATGTCAGGCAGAGGTCCAGTAGATGACTGCTGGACACCCTCATCCATTTCTGAAACAGCTGATGTTGCTGCTGACTCTGAAGAGCTCTTTGTTTCAGCAACGAGACGCTGTATACGTGACTTGCATACTGAAATAGCTTTCTCGCAGTACGGGACTGCTTCCTCTGCCCTAGAGCCAGTTTCCAGACACAAACAGATCCGGAAGTTTCTGGTGGCAATAGTCAAGGTCATGTTTATCGCCTATTTGCGAGAAGTATGAAATGCATAAATATATGGGCAATCCAGGACAAAATGGCATTAGTAATGGATTAGAAATAGATATAATCAAAAGGATACAGTTCAGCTATAAGCCTACTGTCAGGTTCAACGAGCCGCTCTAAGATGGATAAAGCAGCCTGGTAGTCACTCAGAGATGTTTCAATGTCCTCTGTAACATAGCCAAAGTCAGCAAGATCCCGTGGACGTGGGAAATATTGCCAGAAAGATAGAAAACGTGAAGGTTGTTGATCATGTTTAAAAATTTCAAGTCAAAGAAAAAGAAGGCCAGCTAACCTCTCTCCAAGGCAACTTCAGCTAGAGCTGATAGTACATCCACTTTATCCATGGTATCACCAGAATTCTTATCAGCAATTGCCCTCGCAAGATCCAGCATTTTCCAGGACAAATCAAGATCAGACTCATCCTCCTCATCTCCTTCAGCTTCAGCCAATTCATCGGCATCACTTTCCTCCCCATCATCTTCCTGTTCTTTATCACCTGATGGTTCAAGAAAAATGCAGAAATATCTCACTCTTCCTTCCCAAAAACAGTAACCTCAATAACAATAACAAGCATTTCATTAACACAACACAGACATACCACCGTTCGTAGCTTCGTTTTGATGACTGGAGCTCCCGTCCTCTTGAATCTTGCTTGATGCTGAAGAAGATTCTCCATTAGCTGCAATCTTAACAGATGCATCTTTACCAGATGGCTGCTTAGATTCACTGTCCTTCTTCGGTACTGAACCCAATGGGTCAGCCTCCTCTTGAGCCTTATACAAGAGAGCGCGGCCATAGTTGTAGTATGCAGTGATGCATTCAGGAGCAAGTTCACCAAAATGCCCAACCCTGTGAATTTCCAAAATCCACAGATGAAAAGCATCAGCACTTACTCGTTCCATCAGCTATCTAATTTTTTACACAGGGTGAAGCTCCAACTATCAACAATTCTTTTCACCTAATGCTACAATCAAGAACGAACACCAAGGACTGGCCAACTAGATCGAAGAACGAAGAAGTAAGTTTTCAGAAAATTCAAAAACCCTAACCTGATTTCCAGGGCGCGGCTGAAGCACTCGACGGCCTCCTCGAAGTCATTTTCCTTTAGAGCCTTAGCTCCTCTCTCCGCCAACTCCGCCGCGAATTCAAGTGACTTCTCCTCCTCGCCTCCATCGGAAGTCACCGCGGATGTCTCTCCTCCGCCGCTCTTGACCTCGTTCTCGTTGTTGTTGCAAGTGGACTCCGCGCCTCCCAGAGCGTACGATTGGATAGTGGCCTCGATCGAAGTTTGAGCTTTAAGCGGCGCAGTCCCCTCCGTCGCCGCGGCCTGCTCAGCCATCGTCACAGAGGACTCGGACGCCGTTGCTTCCTCTTCCGCCATTGATTTCAAGAAAGAAATGGAAACGAAAAGATTTCGAGAGGGAAAAAGGGAAAGGGTTTGTACAAAAACAAAAACCCCGCACCATCTCCAAAATTCTCAACGACACCGTTTCTGGAAACTAAAATACCGACTATACCCTCCGGGGGATCTGGTTGAATCAGCGGGGTATAATGGTAAATTGGCCTAACAGGGCGCCAAGTATATTACAAAATCGCTTCCATCTCTGGATGTGAAGAAATCAAGAAATTCATTTTCAACCTCAAGTTAAATTAATGGCTGCCACGGCGGCGCACCCCTCCGTTATCCGAGCTCTCCTACCACGCAATGCTCCGGCGTCGAAATCCTCTCCCGCCTCCCTCAGCAGCCGGAGGAATTTTCTCTTCCTAATGACGGCAGTTCCGGCGCTTTCGATGAAAGAATCGGTCTCCAGAGCGCAGGACATCCCGCTGTTTGGACTGAAGAGGAAGCTGAAGAAAGCGGAGGAGGAAGCCGAGCTGCTAGTCAAGGAAGGCTTCGAGACGGCGGAGAAGGGGCTCGAGACGGCGGAGAAAGGGCTCGTGACGGCGGAGATAGGGATCGAGGAAGCGGTGAGTTTCGGCGGACTCGCGCAGGCTGGCGCCGTCTTCGGAGCAGAGGCCGTCGCCGTTCTCGTCGCTACTTCCGTCGTCAGCGGGATTTTGGGGCCGGATGCCTGAAATTCTTGAGAAATTTTAAATTGTTCCGTAATCGATTTTCTTAATTATGCTTTAATTTCTGTAGATCGCTTCCCTGTTTGGTTTGGACAAATAATGAGAAAGGAGGAGAAATTCATAAATCTTCTAAGCCAAGAGCTATCAGCCATACTCGTTTGAAAAGCGCTTATTTTTAAGTGGCGACAAGCCAAACACGCCTTACTAGCGATTGTTTGGCACAGAATAATATCTGCAATGGCTTATGTAGCCTCGTCGAACTCCGTCCACACATTCCGGCCGCATTTCCCCACCGCCGAATCCCCGCCGGTGCCGTTTACCAGAGCCACTTTCCCTTTCCATGAGAAACCCCGGAGGCAATTCCCGGTCGTAGCATGCCAAACCAAATCCAACTCCTCGACTGAGAACTCCACCGTTAAGGTACGCCGCTGCGATTTCCCAAGCGCTTCTTCGTTTCCTTTCACCTGAGTTTAGGTTCCGATTTCATTCCGTTGAAACAGTGCAGGAAAAACAGGCTGATAGTTCAGTGACGAACGACGCCGGGGAGGCGACGAGTTCGTCTTCCGATTCTGCTGGTCTCCCCGAATTCCCGACTAGGAATCTGAATAGAAGGATAGCAGTTGGTTCGGGGCTCTTCGGAGTTGGGCTTTTCGTTTTAGGGCGGCTGGATTTTGGGGTTTCCCTGAAAGATTTATCCGCCGCTGCATTGCCTTATGAAGAGGTTTGTTCGTCTGTCTTCCAATCCCCTCTCAGGAAGTTAATTCGTTTCTAAGGATTTGATGGTAGAAAATGAATGCTACAATGGCGAGATTCAATTAGTAGTGACAGTAAATCTATGAGCATAACGATTGCAAGGTTTGATCAAATGTTCTTGTGCTGTTTTCTTTTGCAGGCTCTCTCAAATGGGAAGCCGACGGTGGTGGAGTTCTATGCAGATTGGTGCCAGGTTTGCAGAGTTAGCCCCAGATGTGTACAAAGTCGAGCAGCAGTACAAGTAAACCGAATCTCTTTATGGTTTGATCTTTAGATCATGAGCTTTTCGGCGTGGTGTTTCGAGATTCGAAATGGGTTTGGTGTTTAATTGTAGGGGGCAAGTGAATTTTGTGATGCTGAATGTGGACAACACGAAGTGGGAGCAAGAGCTGGATGAGTTTGGAGTCGAAGGGATCCCACATTTCGCATTCCTCGACCGAGATGGAAATGAAGAAGGCAACGTAGTTGGGAGGCTGCCGAGGCGGTACCTTATGGAGAATGTCGAGGTGCTCGCTAAAGGGGAGGCGACCGTGCTTCATGCTCGTGTGGTCGGGCAGTTCTCTCGAAGGCAGAATCAAGGAAAGTTCGCCCCATTAGCGATCCTAGAACCCATGGTTGATTGAAAATGCAGTTGCTGCTGCATCTTTCATTTGAAAAGAGAAGTTTGGTAATTAACACTTTTGTTAACTTCATGTATGCTGAAAGCCATCTACTACTTTGAATGGTGCCTACCCACTTGTGAATTTGATAGTTAATTTAACTTGCAGTTTATGCAGAGAACTCCTGTTTGATAGCTTATCTATGGTTATTGCTGAGTTTCCTTCTTTTAGGAAGAACATAATCAAGGTCAATAGATTCCAGTTTTGCTGTTTTATGCAACGTATAGATGATTCTCGTTGAATGTTTGGATTCATCTAAACAGGATATTTCATTGCGGATAGGGAAGGAGAACAAGAACAGCAGAAAGAACTTCATCTTAGGTTTGCAATTACAGTAATGTATACCAGAAATTGGGTAGGGCAAGGGGGCCATATTGACTGGAAGTGAAAGGGGCGAAACCGTACTAGACATCAGTTATCTGCAACGGTATATCTATCTATCTATATATATATTGAGGATCTACCATGAAACTACATAATATATACCTCAATTGTATTCACAGGAGAATGGGATATATATGAAGAACAACAAGCACTCCCACCTTCACTGAGCATTACCCAATAAGCTGTTCGATGAAGGCGAGCTCTGCTCACTGAACCAAGGATCCTGCACCGAAACAGGGGAGCTATCTTTCACTCCTTCCTCCAGTGAACTCAAATACTCCACCTGGTTCCTCTCTGGAACAAACAGCCTCTTGCTCTCGATGCTCGCCTTCTTCGTGGCCAGCGACTTCTCGCTTCTACCATCGTCCTCGTCGTCCCCTGATGAAGTCGAGGAACGCCCTGGCGATCCAAGGTACACGTCGGGAACGATCCAAGCGCTGAGCCTGATGTTCTCCAGCTCCTGAGCCACCTCGGTCATCGAAGGCCTCATGTCGCGATGAAATGCCAGGCACCTGAACGCAAGCTCGGCAACATTATGAATCGACGACAGCGTCCACGCGTCCCTGTGCGGCTCGAGGTAAGGGTCAATGATGTCATCCACCCCACCTCTGCCAATCCTGTCTATGGCAAGGGCTGCCAAGTTGACCTCACTGTGAGGTCGCGAAAAGTCGACCACCTTCAGCCCTGTGATGATCTCCACCAGCACGACTCCGAAGCTGTACACGTCGCTCTTGTCTGAGAGATGGAAGTACTGATGATACTGTGGATCCAGATAACCCGGCGTCCCCTGTGGAGCAGTCGACACGTGGGAATTCTCCGTCAGACCGAGCCTAGACAGCCCGAAATCGGCCACTTTCGACTTGAAGTTGTAGTCGAGCAGTATGTTGCTGGATTTGATGTCCCTGTGGTAGATAGGCGGGTTGACTGCAGAATGTAGATAGGCAATGGCGTTAGCCGTTTCGGTGGCAACCGCCAGTCGAATCGGCCATGGAAGCCCCTTCCCTCTCTCCCTCTGCAAATGCTGACAGAGGGTTCCGTTCGGCATGAACTCGTAGACCAGAATCTGCTCCCCTGACTCGATGCAGCAGCCGAGGAGGCGGACGAGGTTCGGGTGGCTGACCGAGGAGAGGAGCTTGATCTCGTTCATCACTTGGTCGATGCTGTCGGTGTCCCTGTGTCGGATTTTCTTGATGGCCACGCACTCGTCGTTGTGGAGCTTGCCGGAGTAGACGGTGCCGTATGCGCCCGTGCCGAGGCGCTGCTTGTCGGAGAACCCGTTGGTGGCTCGCTCGATGTCTTTGTAAGCGTAGAAGGGGACGCTGGAGTTGCCGGCGGCCTCGGAGACGAGGCGTTTGGCGCTCTGACGGTGTCGTAGGAAGGTGGAGCGCCGGCGCAGGCAGTAGCAGAGGAAGGCTACCGCTGCCATTAGTGCAGCTCCGGCGACTAGGCCTCCGACGAGAACGCCGACTCTTGTGGTTCCTCCACATTCGCCGGACATGTACTTCGATGGGTTGCAGTTGGAAGCTGTCAAACCAAAAAATTAAACAGCCAAATCAGCAAAACCCAGCGTAAATTCCTCAATATGATCCAACCTAGGGCAAATCATAAATGTTCTTCACCAAGCAAATGCGTAAAATTCCTCAATATGAACCAATTAACGGCGAAAATTGAGTTATAAGTCAGAAATTGATCTGAATTTCTATCCAAAGTTCAATAACACTGCTTTACCATGTCATCCAAGTTGTGTTCTTACTTCGCCGTCGATCGTGGTTACTTCCACTGACGTAACAATCTCTCGTAACTAATTCATTGGAAGAATATTCAAACACATTCCGAAAACTCGAGTCATTTTCGTATCTAAACATTATATCGCGTTTCGTTGTTTCGAGAAGGTTGGACCAACTAAACTTTTGGCGTTTAAGACCAAGTGGTGGTGGGGATGTGAATCCACTGCAAATTTTTCTCTCCAATTCTATCCACAACTTGGTTAGGTTAGAGTATTTTTCTAGAACCCACCCACTTGAACACTAACAACAAACAGCAACTAGACACACAATCTTCCTTGCCGCAAATATTCGCTGACCAAACAAAACCGTGTGTACTATATATAGAAAATTTGCTAAACAAAGAATTTCACATGCATTTGCTCTCTACTTGGCCCCATGACCTAACAAAGTCAACATCATAGTCCCAATTCAAAATTACTTAACCCGTAAATTATTACCGCTCTAATCAAACTTCTTTCGCAAAATTAACAGCTCATAGTCGCCGATACATCGTATCAAATATTTTCAATTGTTTGAATTAGTAAACATACGATTAAGAACATCTAACTACGTACACTGAGACGCGCGTCAATATAATAGTCAGATTCTAGCGATGTCGCCTTCAATAATCAAACCGGAATATGACCTAGGGACCCAATTCTTAAACACGTTACATGGAAAAATCAGAAATGGTCAAAATTATTCCGTTTACTTGAAGGGAAAAAATAATTAATTTGTTCCCGACTTATAAAAGGTTCATAGTTTTTCTTTTCCTTAATTTTTAATTCTAAAATATTCCATTTCGACAGTCCTAATTCCACGCAACTTTCACAACTATGGACCAACAAATTCCTCCATCCACGTGTCGCTTTCTTATTGGCTTTTGCCAGTCAAAAAAGCCAAGATTACGCCAACCCCACACCGCGCACCAAAATCAAAACTTTGGACTATAAATCAAGCTTTTAAAATTAAAATTAGAAAAAGAAAAGTCTAAAACGTTGACTGACCTTTCCGGCAACCACCGCGGCCAAACCCGTCGCCGACGAGTCCTTCCCGGCACCGGCACCGGAACCCCGACTTACTTCCCTCGCCGCCGCCGAGGCTCACATCTCGGCAGTCGGCGAGCCGGGAGCAGGAACCGGTCCGGTTCTCCGCACAGCTCCCGTCGAGCCACCACTCCAGCTGGGCTCGCTGGAGCTCCAGCGACACCACCGGGTCCTCGGAACCCGACCCGAGCGCCACCGCCGTGAACGCGAACTTGCACCGGGTCGCGCTCACGTCGCCGTAGCTCAGCACCGCCGCGCCCGTGTTCTCCACCGAGTAGCAGGTCACGTTGTCGCTCCTCGAATCGCACCCGCCGCTGACGTTCAGCTGGTTCTGGATCGAGCTCGTCGGGATCACGCACCCGCCGCCGCCCGTCCGTCCGCCGCCGCCGCTGCAGTTCTGGAGGAGCAGGCTGGTCCGCCAGGCGGGTGCGAAGTTGGAACCGAAGAGGGATGATAGAGAATCGAGCGGCCGGTTGCATTTCGCCGGGACGGCGACGATTACTCCGTCGGGGGTGATGTTCTGGACCCGAAACTCCCCGATTCGGATCTCCCCGGCGGAGCAATTGAGCTGAATCGGGCAGCCCGATGAGAACCCAAACGGGTACGGGACCCGTCCTCCGCCGCCGCCGCCGCCGCTGCATACCTGTTCGCAATTTTTAACCTCTGCTGACCTAATTAGCGGGAGGAGATTGAGAATCCAAATGGTACCCAGTATCAGTACAGGCCAAATACGCGAAACCATCATCTCTTCGGAGGATCTTTCGATTTACCCAGAAGCTGAATGAATCATTGACCTGGTGAAAAACAGAGGGGGAAAATTGGTGTGAGAATCTTGGAACAGAGGGCTTATTAAATTGGGTTTCCAGGCCTGGTGCCGTTGGGAAGCCATCTGAAGAAGAAGAAAATAGAAAAGTCAATTAATGCTTCATGGAAAAGGAACCGAGAAGGAGGGTGGAGAGAGCTTCATTAATGGTGTGAAAGTGAATGACCCTCTGTTTCTGGCTTCATCGTTCATTTTCTCATCCAATTTCTTATTTCCACTTTTCCTTACCAACCAAACAGGAAAATACAGAGCCGAAAGTATTAATGAGCTGTAGAGAGAGAGAGAGAGAGAAAGCAGTGGTACCTCTTACGACTAAGCTGGTCACTGGACCGATTTCTCATTCGGTTGGTTCATCAATGGCGTCCCGGTTTCCAATTCAGAGCTCAGTCGTCGTCACTCTGGTTACACAAATTTTCTGGGTCCTCTTCGAAGCTTCAAATATCGATGCTTCGCAGCGGTGGTGGGCTGGCAATGGCAGATGGGAAGTAAAATCCAGAGAAGTTTCAAGCAGACGACTTTGTTCGTTTTTATATATTAGTTGAATTCTTTATTTTATTGAGCTCGCTATCGATCTTTAATGGAGAGGGGAATGAAAAACAGAGGAGATGGAGGAAATCAGAGGGAATCCCCAAATGGTGGGTGAAATTACACGCTTATCCTCGCTAAGGATGCTGATTGCTGAAGAAGGCCTTCAATTGAACCAATTCACCAACAAAGATGGGATGGAAAACCGTGGTTTTGGAAATCAGATCGGCCGGTCGAATCGTTGTTCATGGTCGAATCGGCAAATACATGTAATATCGATCGATTTTGGCCAGACCGTCCACTCGCCATTCTTCGTCGATCGCCTTCCTATTTTCTCATCGATCATCGTGCATCACAATGAAAGGCCAATAGCTTCTTTCACTCCGGCTCCGATCTCAACTAGTCATCGATAAATAATTCTCATGGTGCTAGATCTCGTACCAAGCCTCAAATCGCTGAGCCAAAGTGGTAGAAGGTCGTAGAAGACAAGGAAAGCTGGGATGCAATGTGTTGGAGCCGATGACAGTGAAGTGTGGGTCGCTAACTGCGAGGAACTCTTACGATGTTGAGGATTTGAATACGTGATCTTATGAACAAATCGGATCTGATGCTATATCAGAAATTAATAAATCGAATATGACTATCTATAAATCTTAATCACTTTCGTACAAATTATTCGGTTGTGGAAACAACTTGATAGTGAATAGATGAATGATTTATCACAGAAAATTTGGGTTGGACCATACATAAATCTCATAATCATGGCGTCTATAAATAATGGTAGAGTCAAGCACGCAAATTATGATGAGAAAAAGGACGATTTTGACTGAAACCCATGAGAAATTGAGATTGATCATCAAGGGCTTTGTTGTTGCCTTCCTTTCCTTTCGTTTTGATGATATTTGGATGATGTTGGTGTTGTTGTGTGGACCATATCTAATTAATTTTGCATGCTATTTTATACTTGATATATATATATTGGCAAAAACATTGTTTAGGTTTTTAGTTTTATAGTGACTCTTCACATACTTATTAGTTCCAAGTATTTGAGATCACACCATTTCAAGACTTCATTTGAAAGTTGATATTTTTTCACTCAAATTATGCATGTATTTACAAGTTTGACAATTTTACGAGTCAAGATTATTCAAGATTGCATTATTCGAGTGTCTGGTGCGATTTGTATGAGACCCACTTTTACATGAAGAGTTTTTCAAATGCGTTTACATAATTGAAAAAAAATGATGTATCTATTCGATTGCATGCGATTGCAAATTTCTCTAAAAAGTGCATGTACTCGTCTTACTATTGCTTTCTTGAAAAAAGAACTTTTTTTTTGGTTTCACAACCCTGCATTATTTTTCATAATTTTAAATCTCGAGCAGTCAAAACCCAAATCCAATAAAATTTTCAATAGAATAAACTTATCTTTACCCCCCCCCCCCCTAAATTTGTGTTATCATATATTAAACTCTTCTTGATCAACTCAGACCGAAATCTCGAAAACGGTCGCTCAAATCCGCATTTATAACTACCATCGACCGAAATCTCGAAAACGGCCGCATTTATAACTATCATCCCCTACATCCAAGTTCACTCAACCATACAACAGATAAATCCCTACCAAATTACACAACACTATTAGGCAACAAACTGCAGAAATAAAATGAACTCCAAATTGAGCAGATACAGCTTTCTATCGAGACTGGCTGGCTGGCTGGATAGCTTGCAACTTGTCCATCCGTGGATCAGCCGTGTTATTTCCTACGCCACAAAAGCCCCCATCGCCTGAAGAATGAATAATAAAAAAAAACATTTGTTGTTTATTAATTTTGCATGGTTTGTTGACTTTCTGAATCTCCCCTCCCCATGGATATTCATTGCCCTGTCTGTCAAGCAACTCCCAACTAGAATCTCGCAGAAACCTGCCATCATTTTTCCAAAGAATTCAATTTCAAGGGGGTGAAATGTTGTCTTATATACATATGTGCTTGTTATAATCAAACAAATTAGAACGTGTTAGTTTGTTGGAGATGGAGTAGAAGTACAATTCAACCGGTTTCGACCATCACCCGATACGATATCCATTAAATGAGCTACTTCATTTTAATTACGTTTACCTAATTTCCATTTCGAGCTCTTCGTCGTACTTTGTTCCTATTCGTTTCCGTCGGCCCTGCATGAGTAGGTCCAGTCCTCGAGCACAAAAAAAAAGACTCACCTAAGTGTCCGACCTTCATACCCCAGGCTCGTCGGGGTTGGCCTAATTTTATCCACGGTTGGCCACCACCATAGAGGCACGTAACGACATAGCTGACTGCAGTACAGAAAATGTACGGATGTAAGCAGAGTATTACGTCATGCATCTAAGATGTAAAACTCGGTGTTGATTCGTGCATGCGTTGAACGAGTTCACGGACCAACAAGCGCACAAGAGATTGTCCCCCCCCCCCCCTCATAAGAAGGTTTTCGGGCTTCGATAATTTTCTTCAAATTTCATTATATCTTCATATTAGATCGCCTAAATGAGAATTTTGGTAGGTTATCTATTGTATTCTTTTTATCCCCTTCTGGATAGGCTGCAAGGATAATACTAGGTAATCACAGCATTGAATTGAAGGAAAGGAGAGAAAAAAAACAAGACTTTTACAAGGAGTTCTAACTAGGTTAACCTCGTTGTTAATGATACCGTTAAACTAAAAATCCATTGATTCTCATTTCTATATATGAATATATGGGTTTTGAGTTCGTAATCGTACCTAATAAAGGGAAAAACAGCGGCGAGCACAAACTAAACTAGCAACTAGGTTTAGATGAAGGCATGAACTAAAGCAGCATTGTTTGACCGATTATCATCATTATGCGTTGACCATCATTGCGAATCAGGGGGGAGAGAGAGAGAGGATTAGTTGACTGAACATAATTAGACGGGACGCGGGAAGGATTATTAATTATGATGATTATTATTAATCATGCTAATGTCGACTTCTTCAAGTGGGAAGACTTGGAATGATTAAAGAAAATAGGGTATATGTTCCCACTAAAATGTGTGACATGAAGCCACTTGTCCGATTGTGTTGTGGATTTGGTTAAGATAATGTCCCATATGGGGAAAGAATTGTAACATGGAAGTTAACCTAACTTTTTTTTTTTATCACATCTATGACCATAAATAAGACCCAAAATATGCACTCCAAGTGTTAACCTAACTTTCACCAAATTGATTAGAGATTCAATAATTATTTTCCTATATTGTGTTGGAAGGAATTAGTATAAAACAATAAATCTCGTATTCATAACACGAAGCGACTATGATTAGATGCATTGTACGATAAGACAGAGTCCATCTTCTCATCAGAGTCCTTCCTTTGTGAAGGATCATGGTTTATCGTAAGGTTTGGCTAGATTGATATTCACCATCTGTCGGGCTCGTCTTCTCGTTTGTGGCCGCATCAAGTGCGCATTACTTGGAGAAGAAAAGTGACATCATTCGTGATGTGGCGCCGTATGAGTAAAAAAAACAACAAATATGAAATGAGGTTTCCCATTAGCCACTAGAAAATTAATCCGACGATTCACTTTTGTACTTGGTGACTGTATTTTAATAAACCATGTGTTGGTAGATTGATCGGTCGAAACTCGAAAGTATGCTAATGGCACCGATCAAATTGATTAACATTTAATACGACGAGATTTCTGTATGACTCCATCGTCCTAATGTTATCGGATGTCTTGGAGAGGACCAAAACAATGAGACCTCACTTGCTTGCTGCATGCGTAAGCGGGCCATTTGGGCTCGGGTCAAGTATTTTTCTTAAATCATTCGATTTTGTTTTTTATATGGGCTCGAAGTCAGGCCCAGTTGGAATGTTAAGGTGGCCCAAATCAATAGCCTCTTTTCTTTTTCCCGGTAAACTGATACCCTTTTCCCTCTCAGTTCAACCTTCCCCTTCTGCTTAAACCCTAGACCTCGACGACGAAAGGAAACCAACCCACACTGACAAATTTCAAAGGAATTCAGTATGTCGAAAAGCGAAGATTACGATTCAGACGCACCGGAGGAGTTCACCGCCGAGCAGGTTTCTTTCTTCCTCCTCCCTTCTTCAGAAACTGAGCTTTTGTTTTTTTTTTATTTATTTATTTCCTTCACTGCTGTTCGGAGCAAAAACCCACCACCGCGTCTAAAAATGGCGTCTTTAATGGGTCGTTGTTTTTGGGGCAGGGGATTGAATTAGATGCGGAGATAAGGAAGATTCAGAAGGAAAATAAGTCGAGGTATGGTTTTCCTCTTGCTTTTTTGGATGCATTTTTCACTCCCCAGCTTTAAAGTTCGGAACTTTCCGCCTATATGAACCTGTTCTGCTATGGTTAGTTTGTGGATTTTGCCTAAATGAATTGATTCTGATTGATGGACATTGGAGGTTGGGAAATGGGTTGCACCTTTTGTAGAGCAAAGTGTCAGGATTCTTTCTGGTCCTAGAATTTTCAGATGCGGTAAGTTACTCGGGGTTTGAAATTATGATGTTCTTTCTTGAAGATAAAGAATCACATGGTAATCAAGTAAAACTTATAGAGTGAAGGGTTTGTTCTTTAACCTATTGTCTTCCCATTTAGACATTTGAAGTTGAGGGTCGGTTCAAATATAAACTTCTGAAAAAGTGACAAGCATCTCTTCTTAGCTTTAGCTACTTCAGTAATGCCAAACTTGCTATTTGATTTCCGTTATCAGGATTGCCCGTGAGGGTAAAGCACTAAGGAGGAAATGGGCAGAGCGGAAAACGCCACGACCATCCAAAAAAGGAGATGAAGGTGTCCAAGATACAGTTGAAACCGAAGATGGAGATGAAGAAGATGGGTCTCTGACTGCTAAAGGGATGCTCCCTAGTGACATTGTCCAACAACTTGCTGCTCGGGAGAAGTATTGCTCCCTACTCTCTCTTTTTCCCAGTATTTGCCTTGGTACAGGATTCCAACTTCTCACAAGGGGGTGTCAACCATGTTTATGCAGGAAAGTGTTCTTTACAGAATCTGATGATGAAGACGGAAATGCAAAGCTTCCTCCAAGGAAGAAGAAGGCAAGAGGCTCAGGGTATGACATATGAAAGATAGGATTCTTGTTTTTTTCTTCTTCTTCAAGATTGGATTTTAGCTACGCATAATGATTGAATGGATTTTGAAATGTTGTTTTGTGCAGGCCGCAGACTGTTATTCTGAATGAGATATCCCCACCTCCATGTTTACAAAACTCTTTAGAGTTTCTGAAGAAGAACAAGATGCGACTGTCGAGATCATCAGCTGTTCTTAACAACTCCAGCCAAGCTCTTCGCTTTATCTCTACTTCTGGCTTGTTAAGTAAGAAGTGAGAAAAAAGTTGCGGCTTCATCTTCTCCTCCAACGGTCCATTCCCCCCAGCCAACAGTGAGTTGAAGGGGCAATACATTCAACCATCTGGTTTCTGGGAAGTGCTGTATCAAACCAAGTTCTTATACCTTCTTGGAGGCCTGTTGCACCCCCAGCCATTTCGACCAGGATGCAACTTGTTTTTGCTAAGGCAAATAGGCAATCAATCTACTATGTGTAGTCCATGAATTAGTGAAGAAGTGTTGGGATCCTGTTGGCTATTTACAGGTATACAAACACGAAATTTTGTTACTTGCTACTCTTGGTGCATTAGTTACTTGAATGTAATGAAAATTTCAAACCCACAGTTTCTTGAATTAGATAGTGGAGTAACCATTGATGGAAGCTACATGCCAATTGCCATTTTAAGGATTAACCAGAACTAAGTACTGCAGCCCTTGTTCCCACATGATCAAATACCAATTCTTAGCTTAATTTAGCTGACATGATCCCATTCAAGCAGCCAATCTACAAGATCAGATAAGATACTTCTGCCTTCTGTTCCAAGTGATAGAAACTAGAGACTCCACAGATGGTGTACTTCCACATAAAACTGACTCGCCAGTGCAGTCTTCCACCTCCTAGACAACCTTCCCCACCCTCTAGTCTTCAAGGAGAGGAGAAGGCATCATCCGGGTCGACCCATGTCTCGCCGTGTTGAACCCCCGATTGCAGGGCTAGGAGAGCGTTCCTGACCCGGTTCAGGCTCCGATGGTCCCTGATGCGCCTCAGGACGACGTCCCTGTCCAGCGCTCTCGATGCAGCGTGATGGTTGTGATCGCTACGAGCTTGAGCCTTTGAAGATGGCTTCAAGAGGAGCTGACTGCTGACCGACGGCATAGGAGGACTAGTGACCCCTCCCTCGCTGTCATCTTCGAACGACGAGTGAGAGCTTGGACCGTTGCTGAAGGTTTCGTGCGCAGCAGCTTGTTTGGAGAAGAGGATATCCATAGCTGGAGATGAGATAGTAGTAAGTATGAAGAAGTAGAGAGTGGAAGGTTAGAAGGAAGAGAGGTTAGTTTATATACACAGGAGGGAGTGCGAGTTTAGAGGAAGGTTTAGAAGAAGGGAAGGTTGAGGTTTTGGCATTTTCCCGTGGGAGGGAGCACATGGTTTGTTTGCGGGGGATGATGGCGTGGCCCCCACGAAATCTGTGGGTTTTGCTGTTTTCTATATTGGGATGAAGTTTTGCTGGTTTAAGGTAGATGCTGTGTCGCATTTGATTCGAGGGATGCCTGTTTATGGCATTGGTGTTATCGTTTAACCGCTTCCCGCGTCGCGATTTTTTGTTTTTTTTCTATAACCTTATTAGTAATTTCACGTAGTTTACTTTGCGTATTCATCTAATTGATCGATTTACTAGTGATAATAAAATAACAAGATGATTAGACAAGTACTCAGTCGAATTCAAAGCAAAATCCAGTCACTACTTACTTTCATCAGGTGAGTATTTTCTATATTGGATAAAGAGGATAATATATTTGATCTAGTGTTTTAAATATCTGCACCCAAGTCGCCTAATTATATGCTATCACTTCACCATTTCGATCATTTCTATCCTTCATACATCATTTCGATCATTTAGATCGCTCTGACGTTATAATTTTTTCTCGAGACTTCAAAGCTTGTGTGTTCTCGCTCAATTTTACATCCATCTAAAACAATTTCGACTAACATAGACATCCTACTAGAAGTTTTTCATTATATCAAGACCAAGAAGTTTGTTATTTGAGCAACATATATGACAGTATAGCCATTACTATAGACATATATGACAGTATCTAAACAGTCGAACTTGGTATTGGACAGAACCAACCTCCAAAAGCTATACACCAAAGTCCCAACGATTTCAGGCTTTTCTCGGATAATAGGCAGCTGTGGGCGTCGCAATTCGCAAACGTGTAGCGTTTGACCAGTCCACTGTTACATTCATTACCATTACCTTTCTTTCAGTCCCAATTGTTACTTGTCGTTTTCGTCCTTGTCCAGAAAGCTCAGCAAGTAGCCGCCAACGATCCGGCGAGCAATCGGATTAGGAATCCGGCGACACAATCTTCCGTCGATGTACGCCAGGATACCCGACAGAACGAACTTGCCGACGCCCCATTGCCAGACGAACCTCATCTTCCCGCCGTCAAGTGCTGGGACTATAGCATTGCTGCTGCCATCTTCTCCCACTTCCTCTCCTGTTGCTGCTGTTTCTTCGTTCTTCCACTTGATATTGGCCAGCACTTTACCGGACACTTTCACGGTCTGCTTTCTCAGAGCGCGGATTGCAAAGCTGACGAACAAGTGCTCGCAGAGGGTCAAGACAGTCGGCCCGATCTTCCAGTCGTTTTCTCCTCGGAGATTGCGGAAGGGGCGAGAAGAAGAGGACGCGTCGCCTTTCAACAGTGCCTTGCTTACGAGGAAGGCCTTGACACGGTCCATGATTTCGTCTATGAGGGAGCTGTTTGGGGGTAGGTTCTTAAGGATAACCTGCATTTTTCATTTTTCACAATTTCGGCATCAGGATTGGTGGAGTGGCTCAGGAAAATGAAGAAAAGTAATGGAGTATAATTCTATGTTCATGTTTTTTACCTGATCATCAATGACTCTGACTCTAAGGTACTCTTGCTTATACATTGAATCCAGCATCGCTTGCAGATATCCTTCAATGTAGAGCTGCAAGCAAAATGCTTGTGTAGTTAGCAGGGTTGTAGGCTACAGATTCAGTCTCACTGGACCGAATTGACATTCAAATTGAATAAGAATGGATCACATACAACTTGATCCGGTTTCGATGCTCAAAGTTAGAAAGACTTTGATTTCGATTTTATGACAATCTGACCAATTCGAAACTGGACATGACCTAACTGGATCAAATGCATTTTTTATGCAGTTCTGGTCCTCGTGTTTCACTCTGGACCCGACCACACCATGTCCACCCTAGTGGATAGAAAGGTGGGATTAATAAAATGAAAGGCATGATAGTATGCTGATTACCTCGTCGACACCTGGGCTGCGATCGAGTTTAATCTTTCTATCCGGGCCACCAACCATGACGGCTGTCCCAATCACCGATGGTTCCATGGCCAAATTTAGAATGCCTTGGCGAAAGCCGCGGACCTTGAGATAAGAGGCCAGGAACATTAGAAGATTCCTATTGTGGAACGAAATGAGCAAAGGAACGGAAAGGAGGTGGGGAAGAAGTGATGACTGATGACCGATGAGATGACAAGCAATTTACCATTCCATCAAAACCGGTTGTTTCTGCTCCCTTCAGGACAGAATCGGATACTTCAGTAACAGCAACAAACAGCACATTTGACCCCAATGTCCTCAACTGTCATGGCCGGAGGACCCTACTGTAAGTGGCTCGACTTGCTAACACAAAATTCCATCACTGAGAAATATTAGAGGATACATACCGTTTTGCCCAAATCACCAAAGTACCGCTTTGTCCCTGAGAACCCTCTGCCATCAATGCAATTACTGATGAATTTGAAGGTACCTGTTCTCAACAAGTAAAGCAGCAACCATGCATGTAAGTAACAGCAACTACGAAACTAATCCTGTGTCTTGAGAAAAATAACCGTAACAATTTACCTAAAGTCAATCCTGGAAGACTGACTAGTCCACGAGAAGGATCGAAGAAGACATCAAGAGAAGACGAGGCCATGTCATCAAATATAGATGCAAAGGCTGGAGGGAGCAAGGGGCTTCCCTTGGCAATATAGATGGCCCTCATAGCATACCTGCATTGATGATGTGTGTAAGCAATAGGAAACCTAGTGAACTCATTTGGAGGGATGAAAAGCAGCATACAACCACGACCTTACCAAGAATAGTGTTGGGCACATTTGATGAATAGTTCTCGCATGGTTATCAAAGCATGAGTGACCAGAACCCCGTTAAGTTCTACAACCATATTTTTTATGGTGGGAACCTGCAGAGAGCAAAAGAAACAGAAAAGCGATTTTGAATACCAAGCAAAGAAGACCATGGTTTAGTGGGAAACAAGAGTATTTTTCATACCTTCACAACACTATGGATTAGTGATCTTAGAGTCTCCTGTGTTGAGCTGTAACTCGAATAAGAGTCGCCGGGAAGGAAGTTTGCAATTATCTATCGATGCATACCAACATAGGTCAGATAAGGTGTATCAAGCCAACGGGCACCTAAGACTACAGATGCAGAAAAATATACAGATACCATGCACTTAACAAATGCAGAAGAGAGCAACAAACCTTCACAGGGTGGATCTCAAAATAGTCGAAGTAATACTGCCGACTTGGAGCAGTTGAGTCACTGAGAGAAGATCTCCAGAATGAGGCGAATCTCATCAATGTCTCCTCATCTATGTTCAAATCGATTGGCTGCAAACAATTGATTCAAACTGTTAAGGCATGATATCGGTGTTTTATGATCCTACCAGCAAAATGGGTGTGTTTGTTTTGGATAAAGATTAACTAACTTCAAAAGAGACTGAAAAGTAAACAGACTTTTTCAATTTGACATTTTAAAAAGAGTATAAGCCTACATTCCACAATCATTCATCCCATCAATTGCCTTTTTATTGATTAAAGTATCTCATATCCTAACGACTGAATCTTTTCTAAACCCAACCAAACACATTTTAGACCTGGAAGTATCACAGAAACAAAAAACTGGGTAGCCTGATTATACCTGGAGGATGATTGATGAGTATTTAACTTGGGTTACTTTAGAGCTGATTGAAAGAGGGACGAAGAAAACTTTCAGTACAGGAAAATCTGAGTCATTCGATTCTAGTTGATGTCTCCGAAGCATCGCTGCGAAAGGAGCATCTGCCCACTTATTGTCCACAGTTAATGACTGCATTGATTCAAACAACGAAGTCTCTGTTAGGAAACAATAGCTATTATCAGTTTGTCAACAATGAAGAATAAGGCATCTGGGTACTTCCACCTGGATCGTGACTAGGTTATACTTCTGTTCATCGGTGATTACTGAATCCAAGTCAACGTTTCCCAATCTTGCAACAGCCAAGGGGCTGTAATGCAATTCCTCATTATCATCCGAATCCTTCAATAGAAAAGAAAGGTAAAAAACAATGAACCACACGCAATCAAGCAGGGGTGCTTCATTTTTCACACTATGGGCATGTTTACTTTGGCCAGAAAAGTCAACTTAAAAGAAGTTGGGTCATCACGGTTTTTAAAACCTCACCCTAAACCCGACACACCAATTAAATCTAAAAGCCACCTCACTGATAAAATTTATTCCCCACTTTATCCCTTTGTAATGCAGTTCTATACTTAAATTTATACTCGTAATAACTATCTCCCAGAACCCGTTCATCTCTTTATTATTGAACAAACCATCTACCAGCCAAGCAATTACTGTTTAATTACTAAAAAAACATATAATGCTCATCAACTCAACTTCATCCGAGACTCACCCAAACACATTTTTTTTCTTCATGTCTAAGAACTTCAACAATTGTTAGCTTTTTAAAGTAAAAGCTAAAACAAACACATCTACTATATTGTACGTAACCAATTCTCTACAAGGACCTTCTGCTTGCAATAAACTATGGACGAAACCACAAATCACCAGTTGAATGAAAGATCTACTAAGACATTCTGCTGACGCAGATTCAGGTGAGACTGACCTCTTTTCCTTGCTCAAGAAAGCGAACAGCAAGCTCAGCAAGTCTTAATTGAATTCTTGCGCTAGACTGAGATGATCGGTCTCCTTTATGGCTATCAGAGAACTCACAGATCCTTAAAACTCGTGTAGCACCCTCTGCGTACACTTCATATCCTATCCTCACAACGGCTATGGTATTCAACTGACTAGATTTCTGGTCCGCTTTTCCCTCCAAATGTGAATGAGAGGCAAGGCTTCTGAGTGGAGTCAGCTTTGTGAAAGGTTTCCAGGTTCGTACCTTATCAAGGTTAATCTCCCGTAATAGATGCATACCTGCATGAATTATAGAGTACACAACATTAAGATGATTTAGTAGTTCGTCAAACATATCTAAGCTAGGTTGGAATGTAACAATGTGGTAACCCCACTTCCATTGGACACTTGTGTCCCCGTTTCTTTTTAATATAATTCACCATCATAAAAAAAAGAGGTGGTAACCCTATCATGATGCAGACTAATGTAGAGGGCAATTATTGAGCTGATATAAGCTTCTACTAATATTTGAGCAAATATGTATAGCCAAAAGATATCCAACAAAATAGAATGTCTAATTTTTGCTATTCAAAAGCAAGCTAAGATTCATCAGAAAAGTCAGTAGCTGTGTAGTAATTACCATTGACTAAAACAACCAGTTTGTGCGAAAGAGTCAAATCGTCCCAGACATAAAAAGCACTACTATTAGATCCAAGCACCTCCCTCTCCGCTGAATCCTGAAAATTTCCGGTGACAAAAAGAGAATCAGTGTGATTTCAGTTTACACAGGAATAAAAAATAAGATATAAAATAGCACAACCTTTTGATAATATGTTATAGACGTATCATGCAAGTGGTTCTCAATCCTATACGGGAGACCAATATTTGGTGGTTTGTGGAAGTGCACACCAAGAACAGAACCTTCTTCGGCAACAAACACTGCAGCAAATTCTGTTGTACTATTGTCTACCAATTGCACTTGGTCAGGTTCTTTTCTAAATTTCACAAAGAAGCGTCCCAATGAAGCAATACACACTGGGCCTGACCAAGAAGATCCAGACTTATCCAATCGAAACTGGACATACAGTAGTGACGTCTCGACGTCATTTTTATGTCTTCTGATGAAATTTTCAAACGAATTGAGTTCCTTGCTCTTAGCAATGCCACTCTGCAGTAGCAATGCTTTTCTTTGCTTACTGCCAATGGAAACTATTCCTGTTGTTTCATCCTTCAGCAAAAAAATAAAAAATAAAAAGGGGTTAGAGCACAAATATATAAACACACCAACCTCATCCAAAGGTATGAAATATTAATCACAGATTCATAAGTTGATGCACACCTCCAAATAACATTGACGGATGGTAATACTTTCACTCGACTCGTTAAACACCACATGTCTTGGGACCAGAGTTACCATCTGAGACGGGACAACCACCTTACTTAAAGAAGGTCCCACTAACACCCCCAACTTCACAATGTATTTAACTCTAGACTCCTCTTCTATTTTCAAGCTTATCTCTGTGAGGGCAGACAAAGCATCCAAGTCTAGCAATGCCTTTGATTGGTGGTGCTGTAGGACTATGAGCTGCATCTTGTGAGATCTGATAGCAGACTTTTGTTAGCCCTCTAGAAAGGAAAAAGCAGAACATGGCAATTCACTTGAAACAAAATGAAGCAGATTTATATACAGCAATTTAGAGTTGCCAGAAATGTTACCTTAAAAAGCATGAGCTAATTGATTTTGGAGGCAAAAATAATCCGACGTCTGGAGGAATGTTAGAGGCAGACGTCTCAAGTTCACTCCTGCTAACATTTGTGCAGTCATGTACAAGGAAAAGGTACATTAAAAGAGAATTTACCATCTTCAACCAAAGCAAGTACCTCGATAAGGTCTTCTGGTTAGGAGCAAAAAAGAATAAGGAAAACTCTGTCTCATTCTTCAAGGAATATGGAGTGAAGATAGCAGCCTGCGAATACTAGATATTTAGTCATCCAAAATACAAAAATCAATGACTTGGAACATGCATCAAAGCTCACAACTATCAAATGTGGAGGTGCGTTATTGCAACTAGAATATGAAATGCAACTTCCTAATATATGTGAGTATAACAACCTCCAGTACACCTCTGGGCCCGCGGGATAATCTAAGAGATGCGAAATACTTCCCACCACCAAAATCCAGATCAATGTCCAAGCAGGGTACATCAGTTTTGTTCTTACGTAACTTTTTGACCCAATCACCACTGTTCACAGGTTTGGAGGTTGAACCAAAAGCAGCTAGGGTAACAGTAAAGTATATTATGGCAGGATTAGCATAAAAGTCGACTGTTGATCCTGATGATACAGTTGCTTGCTTCCCAATATTCACACTAGAGATGGAGGTATATACATCTGCAAAAAGAAGAATAGTATTATGATTGCTCCACAGTACACCGCCCACGAAAAATTGTTAGGGCACTCACCTGTCTCAGTTAGAAGGACCTGGATATCAGAATCCAACAAATTTGACACCCGAACTGTAGGAAGTATAAATATTTCCCTTTGCTCTCGTAATGCTACTGCCGAATTTCTACTTTCCGAACCATCATGATTTGTGTCTGGTTGTGCAATGGGTATATCTCGTCCAATATTCTGAATTAAGAAATGCAAGTCAATGATATGTGCATCTTCAGATTTGAGACTGCAATACGCAGTGCTGAAGGAACATTTCATTGATTCAACAGATAGGGCCTTGCGAACTTTATAGCCTAGTTTGTCAAAAATCCCGGACAGACGAACAGCTTTTCCACCTTTAAAGTCATCTGACCATTCGGCAGAGACCGGACTCATGGAATTGATAGAGCCATCTGGAACTTCAGGCCTGAATGCAAATAAGAAGTTACCTGCAAATTGTAATGCCAATAAATGAGTGCAAACAACCCAAGAGCCATCCCAAAATATGAGTAGATGTTTGTTGATGGCTTTATTACTAGATAATGACATACGGACTGTCATATTGCAGCTGTTGAGGGATGTGACACTAGATTAGGAAGATGCACGACAGTACTTGTGTGTATGTACATTGCTAGGTACAAGAATGGTAAAGAGAAGCCAGGTAATAACTGTGACTGCTGGCAATCTAAAGAATATCAATGGGAAACAATAAAACTAAAGGTGCAGAATGAGGAAACAAAAGTGATGCATTTAGCTAAAAGTTATTTCTATTTAGGTGGAGAAATATAAGAGGTATTGAATTTATACCAACGCTTAATGACATTAATGTCTTCTTCAGCCCACCAGATGAGCTTATGGCATCAAATGTTGCCAACGTATCATCAATTGCATCCCCCTTTTGAAGGAATACTGAAGCAAAGACATCTTCATTTTCTTGAGGCCGCCTAAATCGTAGTTCCAGGGGGAATCCAGTTTCATTATGTATTCTTACCATTGGAGACACCACAATCTTCAGACCATCCTACAAAGAAAAGGAAGAATTTCTATGAAGAACTACAAGAAGTAGAGTACAGGCTTTGATGAGATAAGAAAAGGGAGTGATGGATGCACCTCTGATCTTCTTGAAATGTCAACCACAACGAATGGCCCGGGATAAGTTCTTGAATCTGACAAAAGAAGTTTACAATAACCATTTTATGAAAATATTTTAACTTTTCCTGAAACATCTCATCTCAACAAATCAGACATTTGCTCCATAAGGCATGCGCGACATAAATGTACAGGATGGTGATGTATACCTTGAGGTGACATGATTCTTGTTCTCCAAGCTACTATTTGAGATTTCACAAGAGAAAGATGGACAGATGATGTGGCCCAAGATGCACTGTTAGAAAGTTGAATACTGATAGCTGACACTTTCTCCACTAGCTGGTTTGCAGATGTATTATACCTTGGGAAATATGATATAAAATAATCAAGACCAAGTGGAATATTGATTCTAGCTGAATGTATACTTAGATGTTGCTTGTCATTTGATATGGAATATTGAGCACGGGTTGCTTAAGAATACAAACTCGGTGAAATTAGCCAGGGTGAACCTATAACCCACTAACATGCTTCATCAACAATAGTTCAGCAGTAAGCATCAAACACAAAAGGAAAATATCAAGATCGAAATACAAGAGTAGCTTAGTTTAGAATGAAGATTGCACTAGCTAGAGAGAACCATGAAATTCCATGAGCAAAAAACTAAATTGAACCAACCAAACACACATAGCAAATAATAGGAGAAAAGGCACCATAAGTCCAAGATATCAAATGAGCACCTCAAAAATATGGAAGCAGATTGTCCTCTGATAACTTTGATACTTCTGTCTTCACCGAGATGACATATAAGTTCTAAACCTGACTGGTTATCCACCTGCAAATCATCCAATCCTTTATCTTTATAGTAGCCAGACCAAATAAGGAAAAGGTAAAAACAGATCAACAAGAACAGACACAAGATATACTTCCGATTTTGTAAACTGTTGTGGCAGATGAAGGCAGAGAATTTAGTAGCAAAAGATGCTAAAATAGATACACACCTTACAGCAATTAGACAGAATCTTCGAGCTCCTCACAGCGAATGGACCAGCCAAATCTAGTTTCCCAATCACGAATAAAAGTACATCCAGTGCAAGCTCACTTAGAGAAATATGCACCTGCCTCCAAAGTGCAATTTGTTAACAAGGCTTCAATGTGGAAGCTATTGGGGGGGGGGGGGGGGGGGGGGGGGGGGGGGTTTACCTCGTTAGTTCTGCAATAGATGTCCACAGGTAGCCTTCGTCGGTCAGTTCTTGAATCCACTCTTGAACGGTAAAATGTGCATATATCAACTGGATGAGCAAATTCACTCCTATACAGAAGGAAAAAGAAGTGAAGTAAGAAGAAAATTGCATGGCAAAGGAAAGTACAGGATCTTCTGCATGATGAAAACCCACCATTCACTTCTTTGAGAATCAAAATAAGAAACTGAGGCAGTTGATGTGCTCATAACTCTGGTTTTACTAGACAGAACTTGAACATTGAGTTTGGCATTGTTGATGCAACAGCGAAGCAAAGGAGACCTGTCCTTGGAATCTAAAAGTTCATGAACAATGGTCAAGCTGACACTGTTGATTCTTATTTGAATGCATGGAAGACTCTCGCTCTGCGCGGAACTTTGTCTTTGATCATGACGGACAGCAGGTACTCCATTAACTCCAGAGCCTGATGACTCCATAGGGTAACTATGTGATGTTGCAACATCATGAACCATTGCAACATCATGGAAAACTTTAAACTTGAAAGGATTTCCGGGCTTCCTCACAAACTCTGGTACATCACGAACAAAGGCAACAGCACAATCGTTCTTTTTGTTGACCAGGTAAAATGTATTCTTCACCAGCTTGTTATATGGTTCCCAATCGATCCCATCCTTAGAGCTTTCGGGTTCACGAGAGATAATTCTCCAGAGTGACCCTGCATTCTCACTTGTGCTAGAGATATCAACAAAACTTGAACCTGGGCGGTAGCTCAATCGAAATGGTTCCCCATCGTGATTCTTGGCATGCAAGGATATCAACGAGAACCATACGATGGATGATTTCCATATTCTTTGCACATGGTGCTTGACCTACAAATAACCGAGTGTGGATGGAAAAACTCATATCACATCTCCCAAAAGACTCGAAAAGGAAACGCACATCCATACACCCTCTACCAGAAACATTTCATCACTTATCCACAATAGAAAAGACAACACAGTAATAAAGAAGTCTTGAAAGCTGAACGTTGTGTAATAAACAGTTACTAGTTAACATAATTCTAATTAACATGACACAGCAAGAGAAACTGGCAGTCAATCTTTGAGCACAACCCTAGAGCCAGAGATACCCAACCAATGGAGCAAAGAAAAGCAACTGCAATCTAAGAGCAATCTTAACTTTTTGACAGAGAAATCAAATTTATTAAGTGTCAAGAATAGCATAGCGTTACCCTGAAAAGAGCTCTCCCTCCGGCAAGAGAATAATGAATTGCACCAATCATGTTATACTTATTTTCCCCTTCTTCCACTGCAAAATACATGTGCTGATGTACATCTTGAATTGAAACTATTGCGCCTGCAAATAAAGTCAATACACATCCCAAACTTAGCTACCAAATGTGTGTGTGTGTGTATATACACGTAGACACAATTACACATAATCTAGGATATATAAACTTATAACAAAAAGGGGGACAACATTGCGTGGACTCCTCGCTGTTCAATATTATTCCACCAATTTTTAATTTTCCAAGGAATTAATCATGAAAATTATTAATATAAATAACAATCATCGTAGGTAATCTCAGGAGGAATTTGCAAGTCGAGAGACCACTTTTTTTAAGAATTCAAAATTAGTAAAATAAAAAATTCAGTGACTTAAAGTGGATTTTTAGATTTCTATCAAACTCAAGTACAACCTTCAATTAGTAATAAGATCCTTAAATAGATAAGCTATCGTTGTGAATTTAGGCAAGGAATAGCCCTATCAGCTTTATCTTCTTCGTCCTTTATATTTGAAGAGCTATATATGTTTATGTTTGAGCAACTTTACATTTAAATATCTCGCAATAAGGTTGCAAAGTAGTAGAATATAAGTGTACACCTACCATCCGGAACCATAACTCCTGTTTCTCTGTCGCTGCCATCATCAGTGAACCAGCGCTTTTTTGTTGACTCATGAGCTGCCTCTTCATGGGGTGTAGCAGAAAAGGATGAAAGCATAGAAGAAATCAACTAGCAAAACCAAGTTAAATCCGCGGCTTAGTAATTCAGCATGCGAGTTTGACAAAAAAATTATCAACAAGGCACAGCCTAATGCCTATTTCGTATCCTTGAAAATCCCTGCACGGGATCACTCACCTGAATTTCGGATAGTGATACAGTCATATCAAAACCTGAGATTGAACCTTGGCCAGCCCAAACCTCAGATAAGTTTGCAGGACCGTTCTTTTGCTTCTCTGCTGTAACAGATACAACCAAATGCTTCAATATGTCATTTTGGTGATTTATATGATTCGAGCCGATGCCCGACGAAGTCACAGCAGGATTTCCATAAGGACGAGAAGATGATCCATTTGACTCTATGGAAGAAAAATGTGGTGTTCGATTTCCAGTTTTAAATTGTTCTCCGGCGATCTGGGAAAAGATTGACATGCGAGAAACTTCGAACACCAGTTCTGTCAGTATGTCGTTTGACTGAAGTTTCACATGAATGTCAACTCCGATCACTAGTTCCTGAAAGCAACCTACAAAATTTTCAACCATCAGAATGTGATATACAGTGTCACCAATAAACGAAAAAAATTGTGGGACACACACCAGAGTCATCTTCAACAGCAAGAACAAGAGAAAGCTGCGATACATTCAAGGTTGAAGCTTTAGGTAGCTCCCATTTTGTCTGTTGAGGTGTACCCGTGGTTTCTTGGACCCGCCTTTTGTTACGTTCTGTGTGTTCAAACGATGTGTTTAATATAGATACAATATCTGTTATGCGCCGAAGGGATGAAGCAGAACATCTAGCCAACAGTGAAAGAGCCGTAACTTCAATGAACAAAGGACCACCCTGCTCAATAGCATAATGTGCCATTCCTATTAGAAAAAAAGAAAGGATTTGAATAGAAGAAAGTTAGGACTCATGCAAGCGAAACAAAAATATGAGTCATTCTCATTTTCATTATCCATGCAAAAGGGAGACATTGATGCAGTTTGTTTTCATGATGGTATGAAGTACAACAAAAATAACAAACTCAAAAGCTTTGTTTTGGAAACTGGTACCTGTATATCCCAAGAGATAGTCTGAAGATCTCCACCAACCAAAATCAAGGATGTAAGTTTATTATACTGATGAGCTATGACTAGCTTTTTTGCAGAACATCTTGAGACGGAAAGTAAATCCAGTTCAACATTTATAATAACACTATAACTTGCCGATTGATCTGTGCTTGGTGAAGCAAAACCAGAACTTTCAGATGCTGAGCAGGAGGGGACACTTAATGTCTCAGCTTCACCCAGAGAATGAGAACCCTCATCGATACTTGGCCCTCCAGAAGAAGAAAGAACAAGGGAGTCATCTAGTACATGTCTTTGACCCAGCCATAAAGAAATGTTGCAATTTGGAAGAGATAGCTCATGCATGCAATCATGAGATTGTTGCAGCAAATTGTAACTTGCAGAATAACTAAAAGAACTTTCAGTGGAATCTGCAGATCTGAAAATTACAGAATGGACTCCTGCCAAATGACAGTGAACTTCCAGTTTCCTTTCTTCACAGGATATTTCCAGATTACTTTGACGAGAAAACATCCCAATTCCATAACTGCTCAGATCAGGAATCCCTGATTTTTCTTCACTAACAAACGCATCCTCAATTTTGATATAACCTTCGACCCCATCATGTATCCGCGCTTTTTGAAGAATCATACCCATTTCTCTGAAAGCAAAGGAGCTCGTAATTTTGAACATAAGACTCTTGTCAATCAAAGGTGCTCCTTTTACATTTGTATCATCAGTATCAGCTTCTTCAAACATCACATTGTGCCTCATATAAGTTTGAGGTGAACGACCAACCAAGTCAAAGTTACCAAACGCAGTAGGAACTTCAGAAACCAGACCTGCTACAACCTGCATAAGTAAATAGGGGATTTCATCCATCTGCTCCTATAGATATAGAAAAGAATCTAAGGCTTGAAAGCTGGGATAGTATATACTTTCCACTTCAGTTATACCACCAGACAAAGATGACAATAAGAAAAAAAGACAACCTATAGAAAGATTCCTATTCACAGCGAATCTATGATATACAGAGAAGCACACAAAAAAAAGTGTCCCTTTCAGTATACTGCACAAGCTGTATATGACACTTCCACCGTGTTGTTTAAAGGAAACCAGAAATGACTTTGCATAAAACAATAAAGCTAATTTCTTGCATGAGATGTGCACCCAATACAAGTGCCAATGCTCCCTTGAGTATGCTGAAAATGTAATTTGTGAACTTTAGTCTCCATGGTGACAGCGTTAACAGAACTTTACAACAAAAGTGATTGCATGGTGTTTAACAGGACCATGTACCTTAGAAGTGAAACATTATTTTCTTCCAAGTTATATAAAAGGAAATCGACAATAAAACTTGCATCTCAATCCACTATAGTGCTCAACTATATGGCTTTTTATCACCTTCGACATTCACTTCTTAACTAAGAAGAAGAGCAATGTCTGATATGAAATTGTAGATGAAACACAAGCAGAAATAATCCTCATTGTTGCACACTATATTTATGGGTTTTATTTTCAACGTCATAACAAATAAAAATCACCTGCAACAGATCTTCCACCTCATCCATGCATGAAAAGATAGAGAGCCCTGTAGCTTCCACATGTAAAGCCACAGAAAAAGCAACAACGGTGCTGCCAAAAGAATGAACACACTCCCTGCACAGGCAAAAACATGCAATAAATTGGCAAGAGAAACTGCTGCTTCAGAACTTTCTTGTCTGGGTTGCCCAAGTACTAATTGACTTGTTAGTATCGCTGCTGTATGAGGCATACAGTAAGGATTCTATTGTTACCTTCTCCCAATAACATAGAGCAAAAATAAAATAGAGAAAGCCTCAATACCTGAATAATGATAACTGGAGAGTTATTGGCTTCAGTATAAGAAATCCATAATCTTTTCTTCCCTTCATTTCTCCAATAGTGAAGTTCAAACCATTAACTTTCATGTAAGAACCCAGGGAAACACAACCTTGAGAGGCATACTTTTCATTCTCCGTCCCAGGAATTTCTATTGCCTCAGTATCCCTCAACCGTGAGCCCCTTGGCTCTAGATCATGAGATCCTGGGAACTTGGCCAACCCTATGTCGAATTTAGAAGATGGCCAGACAGCAACCTCGATACTACATATATCAAGCTCTAGATGAAAGCCGTCTTGACCAATTACACCATTCAGATGTTTACTCTCGCAAGGAAAACCAGCCTGACTTGACAAAATTTCAATGTCAATCCCAGTAATGAATAATCCAAGCTGAACTTGTTTCTTTGGGATCATTTTGAGGAAAGTTTTCTTCATTTCACCAACATATAAGTCATATTTGATTCCAAGTTCAGAATCTGGAAGCTCCTGGACTGTGGTGGCTTGTGATGAGGCACTTACACTCTGACCATGGTTTGCCAAGCTAAGAGCCTGTTCTATTTGGTAGCACAAAATCAGAGCTGATAGCACTGATTGATACCCCAGAGACAGAGTTAGTTTACCAAGTGACATGCAGCATTTACTGCACTGAAAATCTGGAGTATTCAGGTCTGGAACCATCAGACAGTTTTTTACTTGACAAAGAAGCCAAGGGTTGTCGGAGTAATCAACATCACGAGCATCAAGTTCCAGACAAGTTCTTTCCCAAGCCAGCCACATTTCTCCCATAATCTCTTTTAGAAGTCCATAACAGGCGCCTTTCACTTGAACTCCAGCATCAGTTCCTGGTTGCCCAGAGACTAATGTTTGTGCTGGTTCACTCCATAGAACAGATTTTGCATACTCGGGAGGCACCTTTTTACTTACTTTAGCAGGACCGAGATCATGACCTTCTGAAGAACTAGTGCTTATGTAAGAAGGATCAACCTTCAACTGCCCACAGGAAACAAAAATAGATTGCTCAAACGTACCATTAAGATACAACAATACTAACGCATCTATTGACAGACAGAATGAGTGGAGTTCTGAAGTTGAGATATCAACAGGTGGCTCTATTTGTTTATTATCGTTCTCAAAGCCTGAGATTGGAGATAATGAGATGGAAATTTTTCCGAATTCTATGAGAAAGCAGACTTCAGGGATGTCATTTTCAGACACGGCTTCTAACAAACTATGAACTTTTGGTTTCTGAATGAAGATGTTTGTCAAATAAAAAAACTGTAAAGTCCAGAGGAATATTCTGCAGATAATATTCCAGATGACAGCTAATCCCTTGAAAGCCTTAGAGAATATCTTGACCAGACCACTGCTAGATGAGATATAATTGCCTTCATGACCTTGGATGATGCTCTTCGCAACTCTGTATCGAGCTATCCGCCGTGCCTGAGCAATATATTCAGCTGGAAGCTCTTTCTCAACATCAGAAATAATCCCCCAAAACTCTTTTACAGAATTCAACAACTTCTTATCCTTGCACATTTTACCAATGAACACTTTTAATGATCCCTTATCAGCATAGTGAACCATCAATAACAAACACTCATAACTTCTGAGATACCGTAGCCACAGACAAGCAAATTCCACTACATTGTACAATGAAAGCTTGGGAGACACACGTCGCAATCTGGTTGCAGCTAGTCTCCAAAGTTGTCCACCATTTCTAACCCTCTTGGATATTTTTGAGAAAGTATTAACAAACACTAACAGCACTGGGAGGTCAATTGGAGATAGTAACAGATTCCATTCTGAAACATGGATACTGAAGTCAACGAGTTGAAGATCACTATATCTAGCATAACCAAGAAGATCCGCCGAAGAAACAACTTGAGCAGATTGATCTTTCAGCCTATAACCAACCTCAAACCCTGTAAAGTCCATCACAAAAGAAGTCTCCTTCTGAGGTCTAAGAACTGCAGTCATAAGCCGTCTGGCAAAACATCCCTCATAATAGTTTGACTCCACACTTAATGATTTAAGTTCTGCCAAGCACAACGGCGCCTCATTTACACTGGGGTATTGCACTTCAAGACTAGTATTGAACATCTGAAGACGGCAATGTGCAAGAACAACATTTAACAGAGAATTCTTGAAACTACTGCTTGAGCAACTGGTGCTCAACATCTTCTCCAGCAAATCATGCAAGTCACTGCCCTGTTATGAAAGAAGACAGAACCTCAGAGATCATACCTGACTCACGCCAACTGCCAGCGAAACTAACAGTAGGTCCTGGCCTCACTTCCTCTAGCAGACAAACAAAGAAAGGAACATTTTCCAAACAAAAAATTATTCTAAGGATTACAACTAATACTAGTCTCAGAATACAGGCCAGGTAAACAAATTTGGAGCACATTTTCTGTACAAGTCCAGGAGATATATCAAGATGCTCGCCGACTCTTGGCTTAAACATGGCCGAAAACAAGTCCAGTCCTCTCCTCCAAGCAACGTATCGAAGGAATTTGAGTACGAATGGAGCAGCAAAGAAAACGTACCTCAGGATCGTGGCTAGCCACTTCCTTCTTCTTCTCCTCGTCAGCATCCTCACTCGTCCACGTCCTCCTACCGCCAACTGAACGCTCTTCCTCCTTCGGTTGCCTAAACCAAAAGTCCAAACGCACAAACGGTGACAACCAGAGGGAAAATTTCCGATACCGCAAAACACACGCAACGCATCAGAGAGTGGCTTACCCTGCCGACAACACGACATTGAGGCCGCGGACTTCGAAATCGAACGCAGGCGCCGACCAGTTGGAGAAACGCACAGAGAACAGCTCCACGGTCACCTGCGCAACCGCGAAACGGTACGAACCGTCGAGGTACGAATTGAGTGAAGACGCATCCAAGCTCAGGTGCCTGGCAGTTACGCGGGAGTTTATAATCCCTAGCTCGACTTCGATCTCCGGCTCCTCCACCAGCCAGGGCTGCAGCAGAGACGCCAGTCGCCGGCGGACTGCGTCGCGGAAGGCCATGAGAGACGGACTCGGGGTGGTTCGAGAGATTCGGCGGGGAAATGGGGGGGAAAGAAATCGCTTCAAGTGGGAGAAAGGAATTGATGTTTCCCCATACACAAGAGAAAGTTCAGAGAATAACGAATTCGAGCTCTCGGAGATATTTCGGGTAAGGCTGAGGAAATCGGAAAGTCGATTTTGCCCTAGACTTTGGATCGGTTGCTCTCTCGGTCTCTCCTGACCTCTCTTTGGTGAAGTACTCCAGAGAGGGGAATTATTGACTCGTCGACGCGGGAAGCTAACGGATTAGTTAAGAAGTCTCTAGCTCTCAAGTCTCAGCCCATTTTTTCGTTTATTTTAATATTTTTCTTATAATACCACCCAAAATTTAACATGTGGACAACTACCACCCAAATTTTTAAATAACTACATGTATTTAAATTTTCTTGGATTAATGGTATGGTTGGTCATTGAGATTACAAAAAATGTTCATGTTTGGTCACTCGAAATATTTAATTCCACTGGTGGTCCCTAACATTTGTTAAACGTTTCAACTTTACTCACTCTCTGTTACCTTTCGTTAGTCTCCGTTAACGGCGTCAATTTTTTTGCTGACGTGGCTAACAAAAATACCTAATCAGCATATTTAAATACAAAAAAAAAATTATACTCGACGCACCGCATCATCAAAACCAACCCATCACCCGACCATTCCCCGCCTCCCTGTGTCGTTGAACAGAAGGTCGGCCAATACCTCTCTCTCCCCCGACTCGCCGCCGTTCACCTTCTCGATTTTAATGCTACTCTCGTCATCGTCGTCTATCGGGGGCGGGTTGGGGAGGACTGTTGTTTAGGGGTGTTCAAACGGTTTGGTTACCATGGTAACCGTTTTAACCGGTACTATTTGGATAATTTGGTTTGGTTAATTTGGATAATTGGTTTGGTTTGGTTTGGTTAAAGTTTTTAGCTTGTTTGGTTTACGTGGTTTGGTTTGGTTTCAGACACTCCTAACCAGTCAAACCAAATTAACCAGTTAAGTAATTAGTCAGATATCTAACATATATTATATACACATACTTAATACTTTGCATAACCACTCAAGAGTTAACGTTCATCCCTTTTAGACTCATAAAATGTAAAGCTCAATATTGCTCATATAGTGTATATTTGTATATGTAAAATGTAGACCACAACATATGGACGCCTAATTTAGATAAATTTCATACATTATGCTGGATGAAAACTTGAAAGGAAGGTCATTTCCAGCCTATGATAATTGCTAAGAGACTAAGTCAATTTACACAAACACAACAATTCATTAACCCATACCATTGTCATAAATTTTTGTTAGGTGAATACTTCTATACTAATCGTAAGATAATTGTCTTAGTTGCATGTACTTTTGTTAAGGGTCAACTATAAATACGTGTTGGTTGTTATGTTTTATTCATTATTTAAATTGCGAATTGTTGCATTAACCGGAAAATTTTCATCGTCAATGATAATATGATTTTAAATTGGTTAATCCGGTTAACCAATTAACCAAACCGATTAAACTTTAGTTTGGTTAATTTGGTTATTGTATTAGATTGGACGGTTTGGTTATGATATTGTATTCCATGGTTAATGGAATTTAGCCTTATTTGGTTTGGTTATAACCATGGTAACCATTTGAACACCCCTACTGTTGTTGATGCTAGTGTTGTCGGTGGGCGATTTGGAAAGAAGAGTCGATGGACATTTCCGTCGGAGCTGAAGAGGGTGAAGGGGGAAGCGATAGATCTTATTAGATTTTGGCCCCTCCACATCGCATATGCCATCTCTGCGGTCGTCAACCTCACCACCCCTGCGGACGTCAATTCTCGATCTTCTTCATTATGACGCTCTCAATTGATTTGATGGGGGGCGAGCTTCTTCTCCGGGATGCAATATTCCACAAAACAACAACAAGAGCTCTAGAGGCGAACCGCAGATCCGGAGTGTTGCATCTAGAGTTTCTTCTTCAGGCGATATGGCGAGGCTTTATGAAAGAATATAGAGAGAGAGGTAGAAGTGGATAAGTTGGTCGTTGGCGGAGGAATTAAGGGCAGGGACGCGTGTGGGTGTGGCGGGTCTGTGTTGGTGAGGATTGAGGAAGAAACGAGGAAAGGGGATGGAGGCTGGTCTTTATTGGCGACGACGGAAAGGAGGGGGAACGGTAGATCTGCGTTAGTGAGGAAGTAAGGAGAAAAGGGAAGGATTTGGTTAGAATGTTCAGATCAGTTAATTAATAGGTTTGGTTTGAAAAGTTAAGTCAATTAATGGGTTGACATGGCAGGTTTCTTACGTGGCCGGTTTGATTTCATTTTATTTTTTGTTAAAATTGGGTGACTCAGCATGTTTGTTAGCCATGTCAGCAAAAAAACTAACTTAGTCAAAGGATGTTGATAGAGACTGGCAAAGAGTGGCCAAACTAGAACGGTTAAACTAAACCTAGTGACCACGAATGTAATTAAACATTTCGAGTGTTGTAATCTCGGTGAGCAACCTTGCAATTTACCAACATTTCCTAATTAATTTACAAAACTCATCTTGAGTCATAAACCACACAATTCTTTAAAGGAAAACCATCAAAATTGGGCATGCATGTTTTTCTCTATCGTCACCAAGTAATACTTCTACTTAAATGATCTTAACAGTCTTATAGAGATGAGCTTTTACTTTTATTTTTTGTATCATTGTTATTTTGGTGTTGATTCCCCTCTTGTTTGATTTACCATGTGCTTGATCCTTTTGGAGCACCTGGGTTCTTTTGATGCCTTTTGAAGTTGGGTTTTTATGATTTCAGATTATGGCATCATACCGGGCAAATGTGCTAGTATGTGGGACGAGACGAAAATGAATTGGGATGCCACAAATGAGGAATAGTCGACTACTTTGATTGATCGCCCAGAAGTAATGGCAAGGAAAGATAATGGCGAGCTCACCCCATAGATTTTCGAAGATAACTCATTTGTACACATGAACATAATTGTCGGGATCAACTATGTAACTGTCAGGTCACGACTGCCAATTTTAGTGCATGGTTCAGCCACTTTTGGTTGTTGGGATATATAAGGCTCAAACCTATTCATTACAAGGAGAGAATGGACACACGAATTTTACCATTTTTTGGCAAAATTGTTCAGGTCAGTGGAGTGAGGGTGGTTCTAAGATTCTCGATTTATGAATTAATTCGAGATTATGAGTTTTGTGTAAGAATCGTTTTGTCTCCTTTATTTGATTCATTGTATTTCACTGATATGAAAATGTACGTCTTTGATTATGAACCTATTGAAAATTCAGAGGGTTTGCTAGAAACAACCTCTCTGGATTTTTTTAATCTCCAAGCACTAGAACTAGTTAAGTAATTAACAAGAAAATCAGGATTAGTTAACCAGGTGGGTATCAACTATCAAGTAATCAATTCATATCTTAATTGGTTAGTTACATTGATAGGAATTCGCATGTAAATTGTAGGAAGTGAGATAAGTCATGTAATGTGGAATGCACCGAAGGAATTGTATGAATGAGTAGTCTGAAATATTGCTAAACCTTGGGGAAACTTTGTATAGGCAACACTCTCTCCCTTTGAATACAATCTTTGGTTATTTGCTTTCTTGTTTGTTGATCAATAGTAGTAGGATTTAGTGGTACTTCAACTACAATCCATTTTGTTTGGATAGTTTTTGTTAGATTTGAGTAGTCGAAAAGAAAAGACATGACTGAATACGACTCCAAAGGTTTTTGTCCTTTGAATATAGTTTGAACCACATTCTACGGTAGATCAATAGTTTGGTCCAATTTCTACCCAAATCGTTTATTGAACTTTTGTGGTACTAAAGTGGAGGCAAGACTCTTGGCTGAATGAAAACAATTGAGTAAAATAAAAATAAATTTTTGTTATGAAAAAATAAATTATTAATTCAAATAATATTTTTCAAAAGTTATAAATTCATATACAAGAAAACTTACTAATTATGAGATTTAACAGAACTACAATTATTTGATTTGACCACGCTAATTAACTCTTGTACATAATAACATCCAAAATTACACTGTAAAATATACACTCGTGTAAAAATAATTAACCTATATTATTTACCTTATCACATTTCAACTCTTTGCCTCGCTAATCCTGTTACCTTGAGACGAGAAAGTTGGAGCTACTGTTAACGTCGACGTTGGTCGCTTACTACTCCCACTCCAGCCCAATGGTGGTGCTTGCTCTGACACCCTCCACATTTTCACAGACTTATCAAGGCTCCCACTATACAAAGTCCATGACTTCCCTCCAGTCCCTGCCATTGGGTTTGGGTCCTCTTCCACTGCCAAGCATTTCACTGGTCCAGTGTGTCCACTTAACTGCGACAAACATGTGTGCTCGATCCCGCTCCTCCTCCACACGCAAATCCCCATATCTGCTGAACCACTAAACACTAGGCTCCCGACCGAGACCAAGCAGAGCACTGCCAATTTATGCCCTCTCAAAACGCCACCGTGCAATATTTGTGTGTTCCTCTCCCAAAAATTGACGAGTCCGTCAGAGGATCCACAATATACAACTGTGGCCTCCGGTGGATTTACTGCCAAAGCTGTAATAGCACACTCTTGCTTCAATAGAGTCTGGGAAAAGAAATGTTTCGTCCCTTTCCCTTGCAACTCCCTCCGCCACACTTTCACACTACCATCTGCAGAACCTGTGAACACTAATCCATCAAATCCGGCCACAAGGGCGTTTACCGCGTCTTCATGGGCGACAATTGATTCTAGGCATTTGAAATCGGAGATCCGCCACACTTTGAAGGTCTTGTCCCAGGATGCAGAGTAAAGGTAGGCGCCATCCTCGCTTATGCCGAGGCATGAAATTGCATCAAAATGTTTTAGCCAAAGGCCATTGAACCCATTTTTTCTCGTCTCACTAATGTAATTGCTGGGTTTAATTGAGTTCTTTACCACATCCTTGAGAGTAGGTAGGGTCCCAACCCTTTTGTGAACCGTTGGATCTTTGGAAGAAATTTTCCAGACCCGAACTTTCCCATCCTGGTGACCCGTGAATATCTTGTCATTGGAGATAATAATCGCCTTTACTAACCCACTATTTGATTTGAATCCAGAGAATTCTCGATGATTCTTCCAAACCCGAATGTTCTTGCTATCGGATCCCGTGTATAGTAAATCCCCTACCGCTGCCAATGAATAAATATGCCCTTCTTCCCTCACCAGAGAACCCAACAACACATTGGGGCAGAAATTCGAGCCATCGCCACCACCATCCTCATCAATGTTCAAATTCATATGAGACGACCAGGGAGACTGGGTTAAAGGAGATGGCACGTTGGATAAATCGTCACTACCGGGTGGCGAATTATCCATCACATTAAATGAGTTATGAACCAAATGGTTCTGCTTGAGCAAGGAAGATCCTTCCTATGCTTTATATCTTGGAGTTTTTGG